TTTTTCCGTAGTCAAATGAAGTCTTCATTAATTTAGGTCTGCAACTTGACACTAAAGGAATTTTTAATTTCCTCCCCGTTTATCACATAATATTAACCCTTTTGTGTATATTAAAAACGTAACTTTCACTTTTCCTGAACCTCTTTTATGATGCGAAAAGATCGTTCGAGAAACAAACTAACTAATTCCAATTTTTACGCCCATATTTTAAATTCCCTTTTACTTGCGATCTCTTCACTATGGCTAAATTCAACTTTGAATGTTTACCTCTTTTTATTACTGAGAAATTTTTTCACACTCAATATGGAGAAGTGGCGATACCTAATTTTCTATTGGTTAGTGTTCTTTGCCACCAATCCCGAACGGCTGTTAATCAATCCCATCATTTTTCAGAACCTGCATGCTCAGCAAATTCCACGCTCTACGCCCCCTATCTAGACGCCAAAACCAATTAAAGAACAAAGCTCATTGAAAACCCGTGCGTAAAAGTGACATATTTCATTGACTCCAATCATCCAAAGAAATTCTTCAAATTCAAAATTTGTTTGGGGAGGCACTTTAGAACATTGACATTTGTTACAGCTTTAAAAATTCTAATTTACTTATTTCTGATAATTAAATCCAACCTAGTGCAATTTCGCCTTCTTCATTTAGTGGTGCCAATTCTTTGATTTTGCATGTATGCATTGGATGGCAACTCTAAAGACCAACCAAATTGTTATATCCAAAAATTTTTACGGATGGAAATCAAATAATATTTTGTGCCTTGAAGACAATCGCCGGAAAGACTTCATTAAGCTAATATCTCTCAAAGAAAACTCATTTAATTAAGAAAAGCTGCGTCAAAACGAAATATCATTGTGTATCCATGCCTAAGAGGCTTAATTACAAACATTTGTGGACTTTTCGGGGACGAAATAAAAATAAATTCAATACTTGGTAGCACATTTCGGATTCAGTAGGTATTATTACCTTCCCCGAGGCAAGATAATGTAAATTAGAGGTAGGTATAGGTATGTCAAGTTGAGTTGGTAACGTTGTTAGGTTTGTCTGAGCTTAAAGCAGATGTCACAGATCAATAACTTTATCAACTCTTGTAGATATACGATATTTATTTAATCTACCATAAGAAGCTTCACTTGTACACTAATACTTTAATGGGTTTCTATTTAAGCCGTTACGGAAGCATTTGTTAGCATGAGAAGGTAAACAATTCAGCAAATCTAATTACACTTAATCCCACACATAATACCTCTCACTTGCTCAAAATCTCCCGGTCCTTCCTCATTTACATTCTCTAATCCTATGCCACGAGCGGTCAAAATAAAAATATAGATTTTGCGTTATGTGAAAGGTTCTAAGCAATGACTTGAGAGGGTTTCACCCCCTAGTAGAAGATGACTTTCAACAAACACACTCAAGTTCAAGATCTCTCGATTTTCTCGCATTGTCTGACGAGACCGTCAATTTTCTTTGTATACACGAAATAATCTCAAACAAAAATGGAAATTCGGGCTTTCGTGTTCAATTAGTAATTTAAAAGGCCATTAGCTAAATTAGTGTTCCCGAGTAGGTACTCAAACGCTTATAGGTACTTCTTCGTAAGTGATTTGCTAAAAAATCCCACAGCGGCAATGCGGTCTCGTACAATAGGGTATTAATTTTTAATGTGAAAACTGAAAACGTTTCGCGTACTGAAAAAGAGAAACGTTCAGATTACTTACCTACCCTTTTAAAGTGCAGGTACTCTGTGTGTGTAAATTATTCATGAGTGACGATATAACTACTTACTTAATTCGTGATTTGCAGCTCGAACTAAAGAAATTGTGCTTTGAATAATGTATACTGCGAAAACAAAAACAAAATGGAAACGTTCACGTGCCCAATTTATTGCTCGATTTATAGGAGCGCCGATGTGTCCCGCATTAAAAGTTGTTCATCCGATTTGGGATTTTCACGCTGATTTTCCACTTAAGTGGATTATCGAAATCCAACTAGATCTCAATCATGATAGTTCTTATTGTCTACCTAAAGAATAATTCTACGGCCAGAGTGTCTCTATAAGATAATCTGCTTGACTATATCTGTTAAATTAAGGACTTTTGAAGTGACATAGAAATTTTTTACCTGTCAGACTTGTGATTTTACATATATTACCCTTTGTCGTTACAAAGAATACACCTTTCGACACTTCGATTTTATCTACGTTATTTTTGTGGTTCCGGAAAATACATTCATGTTAGTTCAGAGGAGTTTTGTTATATAAAAATTGAGTCATTTCCGCTTTGTAAAGAATTTTTCTTGAATTAACGTTAACGATCAGTTTTGTGTATTACCCGTTTGTCTACCGACAGTTCCATCGAATGTTAGTTACGATTATTAAGGATTCAAGTTACCCGACGTGACAAGCGTTAGATTTTTCTCGCATTTATCTCTCCCTTTCTTTTGTGTTGTATTTTTTATCTGATTGCAGATTACTGGCAGAGAGCGCCCTTCTGAATTCAGACGGCCGTGACCAAGATTCAAAGGTAATATTTTATTTCGTTAAAACGTTGTACATGAAGGCTTTCGAAATGCAATTATTAATATAATTTTTGTGATACTCATTTAAAGGTTTTAACTCCATTATTTCTACGGAAATATATTACGATTGTACTACGACTACTTTTTTGAAAATACTTTTGAATTTAAATTTTGATTTTGAGTAAGGCTCATATATTTCAACTTGTATTTGTAAGTTTAGAAACAATTTGGCATATTTTATATTTTTGAATTCAATTGCCATCGATTTCAGTGGTCATTTGACTATGTTTATTTGTAAAGTGCCCCCTCCCCATTAATTATTTACCAAGAAAGTAACATCGATAATACTGCCTTATAACCCAACCTATACTAAGCTATTTCGGTTTAAAAAAATGCGATTTATCTGCACAGGGGTTGTGAGATATCAAAGAACCACCAAGAAGAAAAAAACGAAGCCATCGTCGCTGGAGTGCTGAAGAGGGTCAAACGATATTCTTTGGAGAATACCGGCAGTCAAATGAAGATGTACCTGGAGGATCAGTAAGTTATATAAGACCAGGAGAAGAAAAAATGATAACCACAATTGAAAAATAAGAAGTTGACGAAACTATGGAGAATGCATAAGAAGAAAATTTAAGCAGGTTAATTCAAGACCTACAACAAAGAAGGAAATTGAAGAATATGAAGAAGAGGCTATGGAAAGTCAATCGATCCCTAAAAGAAGTGTGAAGGGGGTGGAAAAGCAAGCTGAAATTAGAAGAAAACCTAGCTAAAGCACAAGAAGATCTTCTCAAAGCACAACAGTCACAGACACTTTAGATAGATGCAAGAGGAGTCACTACAAGAGAAGAATAAAAAATTAAAAGAAGAATTCAAGCTCAACTTAAGTTGGTAGAAGAAAACATTGCATATCTCCAAGAGAAGTAAGCATTAACTGAACAAAAACCGCAAGATTTCAAATGACCCGAAATGGTGGCACTGAAGAGCCTTGTTAAGAATTATGAAAAAGTCGGAAAGAAGCAAGAAAATGAACCAATTCAAAAAAAATTGAAGATGCTATAAAAGCTATAGAATGGTTACAGATACCTCCGGAAAATTAGTCGCCTTAGGCTTTAGAGATTTTTTGTTAAATTTACAAATTTGCCGGTATAGAAAATTTATACGTGTACCATTTCATATGGAAAGGGAACGGAACTAATATGCCAGAAAATAAAGCGCGTTAAGATAAGTAACGAGTGTTTAAGCAGATAAAAGTCGAAACACTACAATGTTGCCCGTTCAAAAAACCATCGTGACGTGGATGAAAGTACATAAATAAATAAGTAAAAATCGGGTAGGAGAAAGGCATTCTTAGTCAAACCTTCGAGGCAAACCTACGTAACGTAAGCGGGGAAATATATAGATCGCACAACACGAAATTTTTGGCCAAGCTTTCAGGGCGAATCGTCTGAGTTGTGTGCGCCTTCGTGGTTTTTGAACTTTTTTGACGGTATGTAACGAGGAATGCTATTTAAGCGAGGAAACAACCCAACAGAATCTTACCCAAAATCTTGGAAAAAATTTATAATTAAGATTAGAGTAACTTTCTTCCAGCTGTAAGCTCTCGAAACTATATCCCAATAAGGTCTTAACGACCAAGATTCTTCCTGAAGCGAGAGATGCGGCTTCCTAAAGTAAATTTTATGTGGTGATGGTGTAGAGGAAAATGTGGTTTCAATTTGTCTATTGGAGATTGCCATATTAAATCTGTCTAATTAAAGTCACTGTTTACAGGCAATATTCAAAATACACGTGACAGCCACTCACAAGAGGAAATTTGAATTTTGAATTGATTGGAAGGGTTAATATTTGATAACGTTTGTGAGAAGATAGATTGGAGCTTGTAACTTAATTGAAAAACGTAACACAGTATTGATCAAAATGCTACTTGCCAGATATACGATCGTAGAATCTTAACTCTTAAATAAATGCGAGAAAATGGAATCGCAAGAAACAGTATACTTTTTCATTTGAATCGTATTCCCAAAAAAACCTATTTGAATAGTTTTCGCTGTTTTAGGTTTACGATTAGATATTGAATCTCAGTTTCTCAATGAATCATTGTAATGAAATATTTAATAACCTTGCAATTTGAGATGTTAGGATATTGATGCGTGTGTGGCATCTTTCGCAAACAAATGTATTTTCGCTGGATGCGTACATTCGAAATGAAACAAACATCAAACGATTTCTTTTTGAAAGAGAATAATTTTAGCGTCTGAAAGATGTCATTGGTCGCGTTTCCCTAAAATATTCATTTCGGTAATATTATTTCCTACAGGGAAAATTTACCTTAGAGCAATTTATTAAATGAATTTCGTCTACGAAGATCAGCGACATTGATTTTTGTAGAGAGAGGACAGGCAACAGAATCGCCTACAAAGGCAAATTGGCAATCTCCGTTGCGAAAATTATGTATCGGAAAAAAATCGCATTACCTGAATTTTGCAGCAGGGTGAAACGCACTGGCACACCACTACAGCACAGTAACCGCCCGAATAATAACTGGAATTGACTTTTATCGAATGAAAACGTACAAAATCGGACCTATTTTCTGCTTTTCGTCCTTGTTATACGACAGTTACTGTATAAGTGTGAAAAGAGAAACAGTGAAAATCGCGCACATATGAATTAACTGCGCGATGCTTTCGTCGATTTTCCCGGCGGTGGGAAAAGAGAGACGCGCAACCAGAAAGTTTACCCCCTAAAGGAGTCGAAACACGCAGGTCTCGTTGTTTTGTGCGAAAATGATAAAATGTAAACAAAATGTATGTTTGAATAGTTTTCGCTCGCCATAATGTGGAGGGTCCTTTCGGTAATGAATAATGAATAAAAATTTGCAACCCTTATTCGCACAATGTCATATAACCTGGAAGAAAAGTGCGCCTCATTAATTATTTTTCACCTGCCGCCCAACACAATTCGTATTGAATGGTGCATATAGGCAAGGAGGGAAGTAATAAACTTAACGCCCTTATAAAATTTTAATGACGTTATAAACTCCTTTCAGAACCACAAGTGGCCATTATTTTGCCAAAATTGGTGGCTACTGACTATGTGTAGAACCTTGCAACTGTGATCAACCGCACCAGTGTCAATTGCTCTGGATGATTACAGTACAATATAATATACCTAGGTACGATGGAATCCTATGCAACTTGTGAGCGGTAAAGACGCTCTCAGGAGTGAAATCAACCCCTAGCACATTGAAAAACTACATTGCGTCTTCGAAATACACCAAAAGAGCGCATGTTCGTACCTACTATATAAAAACTGCTTATCATTTATGCTCAATTCCACAAGAACTAATTTTCAAACTGAATGATCCTTGCCAGAGAACGTAATACGGACGACCGAGACGATTTTAGGGATGTTTCGGTTGGAATTGTTCAAATATTGTGATTAACAACAAAGCTACACATATCATCCCTTAATAAATTGTAATAAAGTTCTATGATTTATGTTCAATTCCACCAGAAATAATTTTTAAACTGAGTGACCATTGCCAGAGAACGTAATGGGGACGACCGAGACGAATTTAGGGATGTTCCGGTTGGAATTGTTTAAATATTGTGATTAACAACAAAGCTACACGTATCATCCCTTAACAAATTGTAATAAGTTCTATGATTTATGTTCAATTCCACCAAAAATACATTTAAACTGTATGGCCTTTGCCAGAGAACGTAATGGGGAGGACCGAGACGATTTTAGGGATGTTTTGGTTGGAATTGTTTAAATATTGTGATTAACAACAAAGCTACACGTATCATCCCTTAATAAATTGTAATAAGTTCTATGATTTATGTTCAATTCCACCAAAAATACATTTAAACTGTATGGCCTTTGCCAGAGAATGTAATGGGGATGGCCGAACCGATTTTAGGGATGTCTCGGTTGGAATTGTTCAAATATTGTGATTAACAACAAAGCTACACGTATCATCCCTTAATAAATTGTAATAAAGTTCTATGATTTATGTTCAATTCCACCAGAAATAATTTTTAAACTGAGTGGTCATTGCCAGAGAACGTAATGGGGACGACCGAGACGATTTTAGGGATGTTTCGGTTGGAATTGTTCAAATATTGTGATTAACAACAAAGCTACACGTATCATCCCTTAATAAATTGTAATAAAGTTCTATGATTTATGTTCAATTCCACCAGAAATAATTTTTAAACTGAGTGGCCATTGCCAGAGAACGTAATAGGGACGACCGAGACGATTTTAGGGATGTTTCGGTTGGAATTGTTTAAATATTGTGATTAACAACAAAGCTACACGTATCATCCCTTAATAAATTGTAATAAAGTTCTATGATTTATGTTCAATTCCACCAAAAATACATTTAAACTGTATGGCCTTTGCCAGAGAACGTAATGGGGACGGCCGAGACGATTTTAGGAATGTTTCGGTTGGAATTGTTCAAATATTGTGATTAACAACAAAGCTATAGGTATCATCCCTTAATAAATTGTAATAGAGTTCTATGATTTATGTTCAATTCCACCAGAAATAATGTCTAAGCTTAGTGACCATTGCCAGAGAACGTAATGGGGACGACCGAGACGATTTTAGGGATGTTTCGGTTGGAATTGTTCAAATATTGTGATTAACAACAAAGCTATACGTATCCTCCCTTAATAAATTGTAATAAAGTTCTATGATTTATGTTCAATTCCACCAGAAATAATGTCTAAGCTTAGTGACCATTGCCAGAGAACGTAATGGGGACGACCGAGACGATTTTAGGGATGTTTCGGTTGCAATTGTTCAAATATTGTGATTAACAACAAAGCTACACGTATGATCCCTTAATAAATTGTAATAAAGTTCTATGATTTATGTTCAATTCCACCAGAAATAATTTTTAAACTGAGTGACCATTGCCAGAGAACGTAATAGGGACGACCGAGACGATTTTAGGGATGTTTCGGTTGGAATTGTTTAAATATTGTGATTAACAACAAAGCTACACGTATCATCCCTTAATAAATTGTAATAAAGTTCTATGATTTATGTTCAATTCCACCAGAAATAATTTTTATACTGAGTGACCATTGCCAGAGAACTTAATGGGGACGGCCGAGACGATTTTAGGGATGTTTCGGTTGGAATTGTTCAAATATTGTGATTAACAACAAAGCTACACGTATCATCCCTTAATAAATTGTAATAAAGTTCTATGATTTATGTTCAATTCCACCAGAAATAATTTTTAAGCTTAGTGACCATTGCCAGAGAACGTAATGGGGACGGCCGAGACGATTTTAGGGATGTTTCGGTTGGAATTGTTCAAATATTGTGATTAACAACAAAGCTACACGTATCATCCCTTAATAAATTGTAATAAAGTTCTATGATTTATGTTCAATTCCACCAGAAATAATTTTTAAACTGAGTGACCATTGCCAGAGAACGTAATAGGGACGACCGAGACGATTTTAGGGATGTTTCGGTTGGAATTGTTTAAATATTGTGATTAACAACAAAGCTACACGTATCATCCCTTAATAAATTGTAATAAAGTTCTATGATTTATGTTCAATTCCACCAGAAATAATTTTTATACTGAGTGACCATTGCCAGAGAACTTAATGGGGACGGCCGAGACGATTTTAGGGATGTTTCGGTTGGAATTGTTCAAATATTGTGATTAACAACAAAGCTACACGTATCATCCCTGAATGAATTGTAATAAAGTTCTATGATTTATGTTCAATTCCACCAGAAATAATTTTTAAACTGAGTGACCATTGCCAGAGAACGTAATAGGGACGACTGAGACGATTTTAGGGATGTTTCGGTTGGAATTGTTTAAATATTGTGATTAACAACAAAGCTACACGTATCATCCCTTAATAAATTGTAATAAAGTTCTATGATTTATGTTCAATTCCACCAGAAATAATTTTTATACTGAGTGACCATTGCCAGAGAACTTAATGGGGACGGCCGAGACGATTTTAGGGATGTTTCGGTTGGAATTGTTCAAATATTGTGATTAACAACAAAGCTACCAAAAATCGACTACTCCAAAATTTCTCGGTTAACACATTTTCGTATTAATTTTGGTGCGTAGAATCCAAAACAATTCGTACTTTTTCGATTAGACTTCTCAATCAAAAGTTATAGACTAGAAACCAATTTCGAAAGAAAATTCAAAAGGCTGTAACTTTTGAACTAGTAGCCCAATCTTGGAACTGTTTGAAATTATGGATTCTACAGGCCACATTCTATAAGAAAATTTTTTTTTTCCGGGTCGATCTGAGAATTTTTTTTTCGGGGCTCAAAAAAAGGCAGTGTATAACCTTCCTTTTTTACCAAAAATCGACTACACCAAAATTTCTCGGGAAAACACTTTTTCGTATTAATTTTGGTGCGTAGAATCCAAAACAATTCGTACTTTTTCGATCAGACTTCTCAATCAAAAGTTATAGACTAGAAACCAATTTCGAAAGAAAATTCAAAAGGTTGTAACTTTTGAACCAGTAGTCCAATCTTGGAGCTGTTTGAAATTATGGATTCTACAAATAGATGGTTATTTAGAAAAGTCAGTTAAACACATTGGATTTTCCACACACAACGCAAAATTTTTGTCACAGTTCAAGTTAATTTAGTTAATTTTTAGTATCATTATCAGAACAATGTGTAATGAGATGCTACTTCAATAATTTTTGTTTTACTATGTGTATAAAAATTTGCAACCGAACGTTCCAGTGAATAAGTATATTTTCTAATTTAAATTTAAACGAAATTAGAATTAGTAGTAAAACTAGAGAACATGAAACATGAGTTAATTAGTTTAAAAAGGGAAGAGAGAGCAAGTAAGTCAGAACCAATAACTATTGCATCTATATCTGAATTCTGAATGAAGATGAAGAAGGAGTCGAATATTCCTGTGAAAAGTGAACGCTTTAGCTAGACAATAACGCCGGGGTTTATTAAAATGTTTTGAAATAATCTTTTTTTAGGGGTAACATCGAGGGCCGTTAGGGGGCCATATTTTCAAAAAGAAAACAAATTTTCCTGGCGTTATTGCCTAGATATTAACATTACGATCTTATACCAATTTTGGAAATTGTTCCAGCTTCATTTAGAGATAAGTTATCTTGGAAAAACGACTTAAAGGTTTACCTCGTTAACGCGAAAAGAGGGCTTCCTCCTCGCCGCTTGTTTTATATAGATAGAAAATGTGCATTATAATTGGTTTAAGTTTATGTTTCTGCCATGGAGGACAAATTAATATTATAAAGGGCCAAATTTAGCAACTGACAATAGGCAACTTTACATACTCCGTTGTTTATGTACTGTAAAGCCAGGAACAGTTGATACGCCACTGTCTTAGGTAAGTTACTGTTAGGGAATTATTATTTATTTTCTCCTTCTGTGTTCGTATTCTTTAGTAACAAAGCATAACCACAAAAAAGCGCAATTATTTGCACGAAACTTTGTTAAATTTCAAATAAAAATCCCTTATAATGTCAAAAGCGCATCCTCCAGAGTTAAAAAAGTAAGTTCTTTCACTAATAATTAACCATATCTCACTTTGTTACTTTTAAGATTTATGGACAAGAAGTTGTCCTTAAAACTCAATGCTGGACGCCAAGTCACCGGTATTTTGAGAGGATTTGATCCATTTATGAACTTAGTGGTAGATGAAACGATTGAGGAGTGCAAAGACGGGTCACGCAACAATATTGGAATGGTCGTAAGTTGAAAGGTTTGCTTGGTTTTTTTTACAAGTCACTCACACCTCTATTTTTCAGGTTATTCGTGGGAACAGCATTATAATGTTGGAAGCTTTAGATAGGGTAGGATAAGTTTAATATCGGCTGATAAATAGTGTTTACGAAATGTTTTAGTTTTAACTACATTGTAATTAAAACATGATTTATGCCTCGAGGTCTTGTTTTAGTTCATTTTCGTGACAAGTTGAAGTAATGGCAAGGGGAGTGCATTACCTTATAAGTTGGTCTATTATTAAAGGATGAAGTTCATTTATAAGTCCCTGAGGGTTGTTTTTATCACCTGCCCCTTGTAGGAAAATTGATCATTATAAGAAATGGCATTCATGGGCTAGCTGTCATTTTGGCAGTTGTCATCTTCAAAACTACTGCGAGCTCTTCTTTCGTTAATTTTATTGTAAATTCCTTCTTCCTGTTTTTAGCCGGGGTTTACTTTAGCACTTTTTCAGGAATTAAGGAACCATGCAGTCTAATTTATGGAGTGTTATTTCATCATCTGCACGTGTAAGTAGTTACCTAACATCTTGCTAATCTAAATTTAATGCTCAATTTTTACGTAATTCGAACCCCCCTTATCATTTCATCTTAGACAACCTGCCTATACCAGCAAAGGCTACCTGCTGCTCTCCTACAACATAGAAGATATGCGACGACACACGAAGCCGACATTGTCGTGATCGGGTCAGGACCTGGTGGATATGTAGCTGCTATCAAAGCGAGCCAGTTGGGATTGAAAGTGAGTGAATGTCGAGATTACTGAAGTGAAGCAGACGGTTTCTTTTAGACAGTGTGTGTAGAAAAGAATGCGACGTTAGGAGGAACTTGTTTAAATGTAGGGTGCATTCCGTCTAAAGCACTTCTTCACAATTCACATTATTATCACATGGCCCACTCTGGAGAGTTTGCAAAACGAGGCGTGTTAAGTATGTTATTTAATTTATTTTAGTGACTGCCTATATTTAGACCACTTTTAGTGGACAATGTAAAAATCGATTTGGGGAAATTAATGGCGACTAAGGAAGCGGCCGTAAAGAGCTTAACCGGTGGTATTGCTATGCTCTTCAAAAAAAACAAAGTGACACATATCAGCGGTCACGGCACAATCACTGGCAAAAACCAAGTGACCGCGAAAAAGAGTGATGGTTCAACTGAAGTAGTTAACGCTAAAAATATATTGATCGCCACCGGCTCGGAAGTCACACCCTTTCCCGGAATAACGGTAAAAATCCCCTTGAATATGGTAATTCTAAGATTTAGTGTTGTAGGTTGATGAGCAAACCATCGTATCGTCCACAGGCGCATTGGCACTTAAGGCTATTCCGAAAAGGTTAATCGTAATTGGTGCCGGTGTAATCGGATTAGAATTGGTACGAGGAATTTGTTAATTGCCCGAGTTCAATTATAGTTTTAAGGGTTCGGTGTGGAAACGCTTAGGTTCGGAGGTGACGGCTGTCGAATTTCTCGGCAGTATCGGCGGTGTCGGAATTGATGGAGAGGTATCGCAGTCATTCCAAAAGATTCTCGAAAAACAAGGGTTGAAGTTTAAATTAGGCACGAAAGTTACTGGGGCCACAAAATCGGGTTCCACCATTAAAGTTTCCGTGGAGGATGTTAAAAATCCAGACAAAAAAGAGAATGTACGTCTTGGTAGCTGCAACCGTGCAAAATCCCTACTTATAGTTTTTAGCTGGAATGCGACGTGCTGCTAGTCTGCGTCGGTCGTCGTCCATACACAGAAAATTTGGGATTGGAAGGTGTGGGGATCGAGAAGGATCAGCGAGGGCGTATACCAGTGAATGGAAAGTTCCAAACAGTAGTCCCAAGCATTTACGCAATTGGTGATTGCATTCACGGGCCAATGCTAGCACATAAGGCTGAAGATGAAGGTAACCACCCCCCCTTTCAACTTTCCATCCTCGCTTAAAATACTTCTTCCAGGTATTGTCTGTGTGGAAGGTATCAAAGGTGGGCCGGTTCACATAGACTACAATTGCGTACCTTCCGTAATATACACTCATCCCGAAGTCGGTTGGGTCGGAAAGACCGAGGAAGATCTGAAGAGCGAAGGCGTACAATACAAAATAGGCAAATTCCCATTCCTAGCGAATTCGAGGGCAAAAACAAACAACGACACCGACGGCTTTGTGAAGGTATTGTCAGATAAAAATACCGATCGAATTTTGGGAACTCACATCATCGGCTCTGCGGCTGGAGAACTTATTAACGAAGCGGTTTTGGCGCAAGAATACGGTGCTTCTGCAGAGGATGTCGCGCGAGTATGCCACGCTCATCCCACGTGCTCTGAAGCTTTAAGGGAAGCAGCAGTGGCCGCGTACTTCGGAAAACCAATCAATTTTTAATGACATAAGTTACTTAAATTAATTTTTGTTCATTTGTACATAATTTTTTTTAATTGGGTAACTTGTCAATAAATTGTTTTAGTTTTAGAGGCCGTTGTTGTATCCCTTGCAATAAAAACTGTTTTGTAAATTACGTTTTTAATACCTACCATACAACATTTTGGCTAAGGAATAAATGAGTGCTTAATTACACAGCATGTATCCAAACATGTTGCTTATCAAACAAGGGCTAATTGTTTCAAGAATAATAATTTGTACTTACTTTAACAGTAGTTTAAATCCATACAGAGAAATGACCATAAACTGTGTATCTGATAACAGAAAATTGTACAAATTCACTCAAGACATGTAAGCTCTACGCATAATGCATACAGAGCTGAGGAAACAAGATGTAGGCCGCACATTGTATGGTACGTTTTACCAAAAATATAAACAGGAAACATGCGATAAATTGAGAGCATAACATATTTATTTAGTCTGAGCCTGGGCCACATAAAATGAATAACGTGAGGTCACAATATATAGATTTTTGTGTCCAATGAGTCTATTTTATCGTTTCCCCAACCAAATTGGGAAACAGATTATGGTTTTTGATAACATACAATTGATTGTCCTCATATACTAGTGCTTCCAAAAAACTACCAAATAGATTAAGACGTTGGACAGATAATGACCAGCGTGATAAAAAGATCAAATGATTGACAGGAAATTGTTAATTAGTAGTTATGGTTAACAGGTTATCTTTTAAAGGTACAATTTGAAAAAGATAATGATTTTTCTGAAATCGGTAAAATAGTGCCTACTTTCGTGAAGAGGCCTCATCATCTCAGGAATTCAAATAACTAAACAATTTTCGGTTTAGTTCTGGCTTTTATCAAGTTTAATAGAAAATAATTAGAAGTTAGGGCATTACATTTAAAATAACGTAGTACGAGTGAACTCAACTGGAAAACGTATAAAACTGAAAATATTTGGGGAATCAACGTTCACAACCAACATAATCGACATAGTTGTTCGTTGGGCACCCTGTATAAGTACTTGTATAAATTGCGAACTGTATAAATACTGCAATTGTATATAAATTGTTTGGATAGTTAGTTAGCACGATTGCCAACGTCACAAAAATGGTGTTTAGTGCGGAATAAACTGAAATAATCCAAAATAAGTATCCAATACAATGAAATGACGGGTTTTTTTCTTACAATTTAAATACAAAACTTATGAAAAACATATCTTATGATTATTTTGTACCACAAGCTTAAAAATTCAAAAGGAACAACTCTCAACACTTGAGTTGCGCATAGAAAATTATCAAAGAAGAAAAGACTGGTTGTATGAGTAGTGATCTCAACAATGAATTGTGATAAAAAAGTCGAATAAACTCGTTCAGTATTGAAAGCTCTCGTACAAAAAACAAGGAAATTACTTCTTAAGCAAACTGTGATGTTAAATTTCGCTTGTGAGAACAAGTGAAAGTAGATAGGGTAACAAAAGAATTTCGAAAAATGTCTGGACAAAGCAGCTCTCCGAGAGTACGAAAGTCCTCTCCGAACACTATTAAGCAGGGACCTATGAAAGCTACGATACCGATAGCCTCCGTTCTGAAAAACCCTAGTAGTTTAAAATGTATTAGTCCGGCGATATCGCCTACGTCCTGCTGGAAAACGAGAATATCGCCGGATCATCCCTCGGGGCAGAGAAGCCCAGGATCGACTGTTTACAAAGGTAACTGGATGCCTTAGTTGCATTGTTTTAATCTTTTGGTTACTAGTGAAATCGAAACCGTTTGGCGAATGCGGGTTGGGAAGCGAAATACGACGTACTGCCTCCCTTGATACTATCTACCTGAAAGGGCAGTGGCCCAGGGATTCCTTTTATTTGTATGGGAACATTTTACAAGTTAACAAAGCGACCCAGGTAACAAATTCTGTATAGGAATGAAAAATATCAGATATACAGGGTGCCCCATAATGCATGCCTATAAAAGGAATTTATCTAAAATATTTTTAAGGTGATGGTACTGGAAGTTGATTCCATTCCATTTCCTTTTCGAGATACATATTACTGGTATACATTGAGAGACACCTTATACATTGTACCTGTACTAAATACACACAACATTTTTCTTAGACGGACGATACTGATCTATCAGATTCCCGAAAAATTCATAGCATAATAGAAGGTAACGACGAGAAACTGGAGAAGGTTATAATAAGGCAGAGGTTGCAACGTAACAATAAGGAATCGAATGGAAAACACAACAGTAGCGGTGGACCAATGCTCACACTTCCGAGTGCCGGGTCTCAGACGAATACATGTAAGACCAAGTCGTGCTGGGCTAATTTAAATTGGTCAATTTTCAGTCTACATGTCGCCGACGACACCGAAGGCAAGTCCCATAAATATACCAATAAAACCTCTACCAAAACCGACAATTCGCAATTCTGTCGAGGGGTTGAATCAGGAAATCGAGAGGTTGGTGCTGAAGAGTACGGGCTTGTCTGGGTCCCAATATTCTGACCGGAACGAAGAGTATGACAAGGTAGTACCAGCTTATTTGGATTATTTGTACAGTAAAAAATTTGAAGTAATTATGCAATAAACCAGTAAGTATATTTTCCAAAGGACCACCCTGTATAAATGTATAGGATTTTTTGTTTAATGGAAGCAGTATTTGTATTTGTAACTCAAATACTTTCACAAATATTTAGTATTCGAATACTTCGCAAAGTATTTGGATACTTCGTAAAGTATTCGTATACTTCGCAAGGTATTTGAATACTTAACCTTCCTTTTTTTACCAAAAATCGACTACACCAAAATTTCTCGGGAAAACACTTTTTCTTATTAATTTTGGTGCGTAGAATCCCAAACAATTCGTACTTTTTCGATCAGACTTCTCAATCAAAAGTTATAGACTAGAAACCAATTTCGAAAAAAAATTCAAAGGGCTGTAACTTTGGAACTAGTAGCCCAATCTTGGAACTGTTTGAAATTATGGATTCTACAGGCCACATTCTATAAGAAAATTTTTTTTCCGGGTCGATCTGAGACAATTTTTTCTTCGAGCCTCAAAAAAAGGCAGTGTATAACCTTCCTTTTTTACCAAAAATCGACTACACCAAAATTTCTCGGGAAAACACTTTTTTTTATTAATTTTGGTGCGTAGAATCCAAAACAATTCGTACGTTTTCGATTAGACCTCTCAATAAAAAGTTATGGACAAAAAACAAATTTCGAAAGAAAATTCAAAGGGCTGTAACTTTTGAACTAGTAGCCCAATCTTGGAACTGTTTGAAATTATGGATTCTACAGCCCACATTCTATAAGAAAATTTTTTTTTCCGGTCGATCTGAGACAATTTTTTTCTTGGGCCAAAAAAAAGGCAGTGTATAACCTTCCTTTTTTACCAAAAATCGACTACACCAAAATTTCTCGGGAAAACACTTTTTCTGATTAATTTTGGTGCGTAGAATCCAAAACAATTCGTACTTTTTCGATTAGACTTCTCAATCAAAAGTTATAGACTAGAAACCAATGTCGAAAAAAAATTCAAAGGGCTGTAACTTTTGAACTAGTAGCCCAATCTTGGAACTGTTTGAAATTATGGATTCTACAGGCCACATTCTAAAAGAAAATTTTTTTCCAGGTCGATCTGAGACAATTTTTTTTTCGAGCCTCAAAAAAAGGCAGTGTTATACCTTCCTTTTTTACAAAAAATCGACTGCACCAAAATTTCTCGGGAAAACACTTTTTCTTATTAATTTTGGTGCGTAGAATCCAAAACAATTCGTACTTTTTCGATCAGACTTCTCAATAAAAGGTTATAGACTAGAAACCAATGTCGAAAAAAAATTCAAAGGGCTGTAACTTTTGAACTAGTAGTCCAATCTTGGAACTGTTTGAAATTATGTCGAAAAAATTGTTATATTGCTCTCCTAGTGTCTTTTATCTTGCAAAATCTCAAAAGAGGTTTCAGCTGTTTTTTTTTATGACATTAATTAAAGTAAATTCGTATTTGTTTCCAGTTTTGCCAAGTAACACCAGAAGGGCATCGAGCTCCACTGGCCGAATTACTTAAGGCGACCCGTTCTGTAAACACCCAAACACCGGCAGGCGATTTCGTCAGCAGTTGTCCATCATCAGGTAATAACCGCACGAAAATTCACGCTTTATTTTTCAATGGGTAATAAAACTTGATTGATAAATATGTTTAGGTCCTCCGTCTAGAGATTCAAATTCTCCATTAATACCGGGACATTTGGATTCTTCTAGCGATGCAGGTTAATTTTCTATCACTTGTTTTTTTGCATGGGGCTACTTTTTGATAGTTTGACATTTGTAATTTGACACTTGTGAATTGCAGGTGGCAGCCAAACGTCTAGTCCAGATCAGGAAAGCAGCAAATTCGGCACCTCGCCGCACATCAACAAGTTTCTGGCACGTGAGCCGCCGGACGGCTGCGAAAAGGTCCACCTAAAGTCGTTGGAGGATCACCGTGGGTTGAACGTAGACCAAATTTTGCGACCCACCACTTTTCAGCTCAAACCCAGTCTAGGTTCTGCGTTCCATTTGCTACAACCAAATGTACACACGTCTGCAGATTCTGATGTACCATTAGTGCCCTCCCAACAAGACTAATCGAGATGTATTTATCTGTGCCGCATTGATGAGTTAATTATCATGAAAGTAGAATAGGAGAAATGGGTTCAATGCGGCATGGATTTGTAAATTTTGAAAATCAATTTTTATTCATGCTCTTATGGACTGTACTTGGCAGAAATCGACATAAAGTATGCAATGAGAATTGTTTGTAGTTTTATACAAAATTTATAGTAACGTAAGGATAAAAAGAGAAATTAAATTTGCAAAAAAGGGGTTCTGTAAACTGTACATTCCATGTACAAAATTTGTTTAACGCCTACAGTTGCATCACTATGCAAACTGCTAGAACACTGTGATCTTATTAAAAAAAAAAAGGGTATGGGTGACACAGAACCGGTTTTGTTTGTCGAATAATACACATTTGAAGTATTTTTTATTATTTCTTACCTTTGTAACAAATGTGCCCATCTTAGTTTTAGCAGGTAATCTTTTATTTTTTTAGGTCAGTCAAGATAGTGTGACCAATTTGTTGTAATATGTACCTTTCTTTATGTATGTACAAACATATCTAATAAACGGACTGATTCTGGTAAATACAGTTTACCCTGTTGCAGAGCTGTGCAAAGGAATTGGTACAAAAGGCTTGGAAAACCCTCTTAGAGCTTGCAATTCCAAGGCTTCAAGCCTTTTCTAAAAACAGGGCTTTGGAATTTACGTCTAAAGCCTTTTCGCGTGTGCTTGGGGCTTTGGATTTCAGCCAAAGAGCTTAAATTCCTTTTAAAAGAATTGAAATCACTTTTTCATTGAAAACTCCATTTTAAGGATGCAATTCCCTTTAAAGAGCGTCAATTCCCTTTTAATAGGCTTGAAATCCTCTTTAAAAAGGCTTCAATTCCGTATATGCCTCCCACTCCCACATCATTTTTACCGCATTTTTGCAAATTTATTTGTAAAAAGTAGCTTTTAATCTCACTTTGGCTGGCTGCAAATATGGGCGCGTAGAAGAACTCTTGTAGAAAGGCAACGGGTGTACGTGTATCTACAAGCCTGTGTAATTTGTCAACCTTAGGGACAGGGCTACATGATGTGGGGTTGGCGACTTCTGGGCGTCATTCTCGAGCGTAGTGTACTAACGTGAAGGTTTTTCAGTTTTGTCCTATGATTCTTTTCAAATTGGTGTCGTCGGAAAGATGTTGTAAACGCGCACAACTCCTGCGTGGCGGAATTTAATTTTTTGCCCTAGGGGCGAAATTAAATAAGACCTTTTGCAAGGCGCGCGCGCGTCTTCGAGAGGTAGTCTACTTCGGGCGCCTTTTACGTTCCGTTGCGAATTTTGTCACGCGGTTTAACGTTTCGTAAATCTCGAATCGCTGTCTCCCTTTCTCGTGTCGCCAATAGAAGCTCGAGCAATGAGAAGTGCCCCAAAAATTAATTACTACCTTGTGGAAGGTTTTTAGCGAAATCCACCAAAATGTGGGTGTAAAATAAGTATGCACCGAAAAAGGAAATGTGGTAGCCCCCGACACGATCTTCCTAATGGTGAAGTCAAATCTGCAAACGCGCATATTGGAAGGGAACGAGACATCGGAAGTGGATACCGACAAAGGAAATATGGTAGCCCCTGACAAGATTTTACTGATGATGGAGTCAAAACTTTAAACGCGAATTGCGGGTGCACGCGGAAAGTGGGAAGCGGGTACCGACAAAGCGAATGTGGTGGCTTGCGACAAGATCTTTTATTGAGGGTTGAGTCGAAAGTGGCTAATAGAATACTGATCTGCCACACAAAAATGCGCTGAAGTCCCTTCACGAGGACTTTGATAATTTTTTATTTCCAATTTTTGTGAGTTTGCACTTTGCAGTACGTACAACTGTTAGAATATTGTAAAATTTTGCAACCAATAGCAGTCACGTTGGATATTCTTCAAGGTCAAAAAAATACCTTTTATGGGTACTTATTGCCGTCTGTCTGTTCTTTACACATCAAACTTTTGCAACTAAAAACACAAAATCTAAAATTAAAGGAACCCATTCTATTATAACCTTAGATAGTAAATCTGAAGATGCTATTGTTGCAACTTTTACCATACCAAAATTTAAGTTGCGTTGGTATAATGCTATAAAAGCAACATCTACGAAAGTATTTGGAGGCCATTACACAATTGATTATAAAGGCTGCGCAAGATCTTCAAGATTCGGATGAAGAATCTACACAAATTCTTAACCAAGCGGTAGCTACTGATCCCGACCCTGAGGATCTATTTTTCAATTTTGATAATAATAAGGAAGTTGCGACGCTGGCAAGTGCGCAACGTGTAACAAATATTGAATTAGAAGTTCTCCATTATCTAAAAGATCCCAGAACGGACATTACCAGCATAAAAGACTATAAAACTATATAACTAATTTATTTAAAAAATTTAATGCAAGTTTGCCATCAAGTGCCGCAGTTGAGAGGTTATTTTCATTTGCGTCCTACATTAATTCACCTCGGCGCCATGCGTTGAGCGACAAAAACTTTGAGGATCTGGTGTTATTAAAGGCAAATGCCATAACTTTGATGCCCATTTGTCGTAATGTAACCTGTAATGATTTTTACCTTTTGCCATAATTACTGTCTACAGTGTCTATACTGAATTTATTTTTTTTGTTATGATGGAAAAAATCGTCTTTTAGTTATTTTTTGTAAGAATAAAATTTTATTTTTTATAATGCACGTAACTTATGTTAAGTAATTATTTGTTTGTTTGTTTGGTGGGACGATAGATCTAGAAATGCGAAGGATTTAAGAACTTTAGTTCGTTCTTTAAAGGAGTTCGGTTTCTTTTCATAAAGCATTTCAATTCCTTTTGCGAAGGAATTCCATTCCTTTGCCAAGGATTTCAATTTCTTTTAATTCCAAATTCCAATTCCTTTTCCTAACGGATTTCAATTCATTTTTAAAAAGGAATTCAATTCAATTTCAAAGGGCTTTGAGCTTAAGGCTTCGTAACTTTAAGCCTTTTTTAAAGGGCTTTGGAATTTTAAGCCCTTTTCGTGCTAAGAGGAATATGAGCTTTCCATTCACCATTCCTCTTACACGGGCTTTGGAATGAAGCCCATTGCAAAAGGGCTTTGCACAGCTCTGCCCTGGTGTTTGTATTTTGTCAGTGATTGTGCTCAAGAGACCACACCTAGGCTTGCAATTCCAAAGTTCCTAAAAAGGCTCCAAGCTCTTGAATATAATTGAAATGTGCTTATGTGTAGAAAGAGCTTGAAACCTTGGGACTTTCAAAGTCTGCTAGCGGACTGGAACCTTTGTACAGCTCAGACAAGAGTGATAAAACTATGGGGGTAGCAAGGAAGACAACTAACAAACCAAACCTATTTATAACACTTGGAGATTGTTGCTATAATGACAAGTCAGTAAGAGCGAAGATGTATGACTTGGGCACTAAGTTCTTTCACATTTTTTGTGAAAGTCTGTATAATGCCTCGCATGGTTAGATTGCTTAAGAATTGGTCTCTATTCACTGAAAACCTTGGAATTACTTTACCGTTCATCTTAATTATATAAACTGATTGAAAGTAGTCATGTCTACACATATTAAGGCCATGGATACCTACCTACATTCCTATATATCAAGTACAATTATTCCAGTTGTAAAAGTGTACAAGGCATTGCAGACCTTTTAGGCTGTAAATTGTTTAATTCACAATTTCAAAATAAAGGCACTAGTCCCTGAACATTCTAAAAAGCAACACCACAAAAGGTAAACAGGGGTATTACTGCATTGGCAGAAAATTAATCAACTGTAACAATAAATAAAAAATCAAAGACTGATGTCAATTATGTATTTATTTATAATACGTTACAACAAGACTTAGAACCTTAACTTTTGGAAAAACCATTTGTTTTTACCTTGCTTGTATCGTTCTTCGAATCGCACACGTATTTGGAAACGTACCTTCTTACGTTTCATTGGATCTTTAAGGTCTTTAGGTGTCACTTTCTGTTCAGCGGCGACATCCACTGAGTAACGTGTCGGCATTAAATGATTGTAGTTGACAATCTACAAAAGCGACGGTTAGACTATAGCACTTACTACGACAGACAATACGAACCTTAATGAAGGGCTTAATTTTGGACTTCTTGTGAATTTTGGCTTTGCTCATTCTTCGCGTAACCTTCCTGGGATACCGGTCGATGCCCGCGACTAAAGCGTGTCCGTACTGCTTGTCCGAGGTGCCGTCGTCATAGTTCTTCATAACTACGGCCTTACGGCCCGCGTACCGTCCGCTGAGGACCAGCACGACTTTGCCAGCTTTCATTATTTTACCCATTGTGCTCTGAAAGACAGAAAATATTAGAAATTCGCACTGGGCACAATCAGCGTGTCATAACCACAAATTATTTACAAAACTAAAAATGATAATTCTACCGAAATAATCGCAAAATATGTTGCATCTGATATAATTTAAGCTAATTTTGTTGTTTCGATTCAAAATTCTCTTACATATTTTAGGATGATCCACGAAAATGGTAGTAAAGAATTATACTTACAATCACAACTGTTTACAGGGTACAAAAGACTACAACTCTCCTCGCTAGATGGCGCTAAACTTGAATTGCTACAGGCGGTACTTTTGAAATTAGGTGCAATTACGATTTACAATCATTGCTTCGCCAGTTATTTTGCACACCTTACTAGAGCAGGTACACTTAATTATTGCCATGCCGGTGCAATAACGCATTATTTACGCGCGAGTATGCATTAATAAATAAAGAGTTTCGCGCTTCAAATTTTATACCATTTTATACTGTGACTTATTGACACAACAGTGCATAAACTTTACAATGTTCGCATTTGGAGGTAAGATGCAAATTAAAGTAACAATTACTCAAATTTTGGACATATAATGTGTGAAAAGGCTACTAGGTAAAGGCCACAAAAAGACCTTTTACAATGTCATCACTTACGTGTAGAATATTTCACCTCAATAAATTACCGCAAATTATATGAGTCTACTTGTTTATTATTTATTGTGGGCAAAGGCAAAACACAATACCAACAAAAAATAATCACTTCAATTTATGTAAGTGTGGGATATTAATTTCTTCATAAATAGTTCAACAATTATTCATATAAATTGTTCGTATTTTTTTCCAACTACCTATCTGTTTATATTTGCAGTCAAGTGACCTATGTGCATATACTTTGCAAAACCAATTAAAAAAAGCTGGTACAAAAGATTGGTGGAAACATTTTTATACGTAATCTACCTAATAAAACAAAACAAAATTCATTTTTTCTGAAACTTCTTTAAAAACAACTACTTTCGTCTCTAAAAAGGGTGAAGAAAATGTGATTTTCCTCTCTAGTGAGGAAAGTAATAATAATAAACAATTGCTGCGTTAATCTTGTAATGACATTTAAAAATTGAAACATACCCGTATCTAGATTGCTGTGTCATAAACTTCATTATTGGGTACGATAATTTTTCAAATTTTGATTTCAATTTCAGAAAAAATTATCTATGTGTAAAACTTGAGAATAAAGTGTTTTTCAACTCTCGTTCGCTACGCTCTTTGAACTCGAGTTGAAAAACTCCACTTTCTTCTCTAGTTGTACAAAGTAACTATTTCCACATAATATAATGTCCTCTAACCACTTAATTCCTTTACCAATAAACAGGTAAATTGTGTGCGGTAAATTCACCTCGGAAAAAGAAAAACCTCTTCGGTAAATTCTCCCTCGGCAATTTGTCTCGGTTAATTCACCCCCAAGAAGATTTGCACCGGAAAGATTCTACACTGGAAAAATTCACCTGCCACCGGAAAATTTGCTGTCATTTTCACTGTCAAATATATACCTATGTTTTCTTAGGGAAAAGTATTTCGAAGTTCCACTCAAATTTAATGTAGGTATAATAACTTCTTTAAAGGACGGCTTTGGATAATAGTATATTACAATACAAATAAAGTGTAAAGTAAATATTATTACAGTACAAATAGAGAAACTAAAGTTTTTCCACAAGTACTGTATAGCGTGCTATCCAATTTTGCTGCTAATAACCAAACCCTGAATCGCCTCGTGCGAGAACAACCATTCCCTTTAGTTGTTGAAGGAGGTGGTTGGCAACCTCCCACAACTGTGGGAGGCTACACACCTAAAAGTAGTGCAGGAAAAAGACTGCTTTCCTAGGCTCCTCAAGGCTGCCATCTGGATCCTGACGACCTGGTGGCGATTAAAACGGCGCTTAGAGGTGCACAATTCCTGGGCAAAAATAGGCAGCTGGTGGGAAGCCCTGGAAAAATAGCTGATAGATTCCCGACGTCCAGAAATGTCACCAGAGAACGCACGGAGAGGTACACTACCATCTAACACAATTCTTAATGTGAAACGTGGAGAACACAGAGTACCTAGGATCACTGTCGCCAAGGCGTCACAGTGACAGACCACATGCTCGGTAGTCTTATTTGCCTCGCCACACAACCTGCACGTGGGCTCTTCCACAAGCCCAATGTTATGCAGGTTGACCATTCAGTAAGGATACTGGTGATCTTCCTAATCTGGCTTTTATATGCAGTTTTAGAAGCTTAGAAGTCACAGATTTGCCAATGGGCCCTGTTAAAAAGACCCTCAACTGTTTGAATACGGTTGCTTGCTGCCACTGGCCCTAGAGTTCACTGATCAACCATCAAGCAATTCGGGTGATAGGCTCGGGCCCGACGAAGACCCTACTGCTGCCTTTACGAGTCAGCTCATCCGCCCCTTCGTTTCGACATAAATGCAAATCCTAAGGTTCAGTTGGCGGTCCTTCTTATAATAAAGAAAATCCTCCGCCTGATCATTGAATAAAACTCAATTTTTTATTCAATGGCCTGATCTAGACGCCTTACGCTTACCTAGCGCCATATTCAGAACTTCATGCAACTATGCTGTTCTAGACGCTGGCTGCCCATCTTCGCCCTTCAATGCTTTTCTTGGTACCACCAAACCATGTTTCTAACTTCAAGCAAAACATTTGGTACAAAATATTTTATATCTTGTCGCTAGATGGCACCGAACATTAACTCCTGCAGGCGGTACTTTTCAAATGGGTTTCAATTACAATAATCGCCTCGCTAGTGATTTTGCACACCTTACTAGAGCAAGTACATTTAATTATTACTGGTGAACGCACGTACGGTTTACGCGAGTATGACTTGATAAATAAAGAGTTTTGTTCCGTTTCAATTTTTTTTGCCAGATTTAGGGAGAGTGACTTATTGACACAGCCAGTGCGGAAGCTTGAACTATGAGGAAATTTGGAGGTAAAATTTATTAAACAATTAGTTTAAATTTCAAATAGGTAAAGGCCACCACAAGACCTTTTACAATGTCATTACCTACGTGTAGCATATTTCACCTTAATAAATTACCGCAGTTGTCTACTTTCTTATTTATTGTATAAGGCAACGCACGACACCCAACAAACAATTGCTCCAATGTATGCAAGTAATAACTATTTTCCTTATAAATCAAAAAAGTACCTTTTACAACCGATTTGATTACCTACCTATCTCTATAAATCGTTTTGCAACATTTTGTTTACAACTGCAGTCAAGTGGTTGACTATACTATCGTATATGCATTATTATTATTTAGAGCTAGGAAGTATTCGATGTTGTAAATACTTTTTAGTATTCAAATCCTTTGTAATTAAATACATTTATGGAAGCAGTATTTGTATTTGTAACTCAAATACTTTCACAAATATTTAGTATTCGAATACTTCGCAAAGTATTTGGATACTTCGTAAAGTATTCGAATACTTCGCAAGGTATTTGAATACTTTGAGAAGTATTCGAATACTTCGCATAGTATTTGAATACTTAACCTTCCTTTTTTACCAAAAATCGACTGCACCAAAATATCTCGGGAAAACACTTTTTCTTATTAATTTTGGTGCGTAGAATCCAAAACAATTCGTACTTTTTCGATCAGACTTCTCAATCAAAGGTTATAGACTAGAAACCAATTTCGAAAAAAAATTCAAAGGGCTGTAACTTTTGAACTAGTAGCCCCATCTTGGAACTGTTTGAAATTATGGATTCTACAGGCCACATTCTATAAGAAAATTTTTTTTCCGGGTCGATCTGAGACAATTTTTTTTCGGGCCCCAAAAAAAGGCAGTGTATAACCTTCCTTTTTTACCAAAAATCGACTGCACCAAAATTTCTCGGGAAAACACTTTTTCTTATTAATTTTGGTGCGTAGAATCCAAAACATTTCGTACTTTTTCGATCAGACTTCTCAATCAAAAGTTATAGACTAGAAACCAATTTCGAAAGAAAATTCAAAGGGCTGTAACTTTTGAACTAGTAGCCTAATCTTGGAACTGTTTGAAATTATGGATTCTACAGGCCACATTCTATAAGAAAATTTTTTTTCCGGGTCGATCTGAGACAATTTTTTTTTCGGGGCTCAAAAAAAGGCAGTGTATACCCTTCCTTTTTTACCAAAAATCGACTGCACCAAAATTTCTCGGGAAAACACTTTTTCTTATTAATTTTGGTGCGTAAAATCCAAAACAATTCGTACTTTTTCGATCAGACTTCTCAATCAAAAGTTATAGACTAGAAACCAATTTCGAAAGAAAATTCAAAGGGCTGTAACTTTTGAACTAGTAGTCCAATCTTGGAACTGTTTGAAATTATGGATTCTACAGGCCACATTCTATAAGAAAATTTTTTTTCCGGGTCGATCTGAGACAATTTTTTCTTCGGGCCTCAAAAAAAGGCAGTGTATAACCTTCCTTTTTTACCAAAAATCGACTACTCCAGAATTTCTCGGGAAAACACTTTTTCTTATTAATTTTGGTGCGTAGAATCCAAATCCCAGAATACAGATTTTAAAATTCTTAAAACTTCGCTATAAACGTGTGCTAGGGCCATACATTTTTTGATAAAAAGTTTTTTAATTATGTGTGTCACCGCGAGGTGGCGATACCTAACTTAATTCTTTTAAATGGAATGTGATAGCTTTACTTACAAGTGCTTCTAACCTACCTCATTTACTTTTCGGGAAAATAATAATGTTTATAAATTTCACATTTCTTGTTCAAAAATTGTAGGTATTGAGAACAATGTTTCGAAAAGTAGGTCGTGAGACCGAATTTGTGGGCATCCTTTGCTGAATTCATTCGTAATTTATTGCTATATATTCAGTGATTCTATCTTCTAAATATGTAGCTTTTTATAATTTCTTGTATTGATTTACATTTAATTTATATTGTCATCAAATATGATTACACCTGCAATACCCATAGAGATTTTTTTCAGAATTTTGGACGTGCATAAATAAATTTAGTTTTATCTTCTGTTGATTTCCCTTCCCAAAAACCAAATTGTTTTTCTGATAAAATTTTGTTCTTTTCCAAGAAGTAATTCAAGGGATCATTAATTTTTCAAGAATTTTTCCAATATTGCACAATTAACATGATCGGTTCGGTAACTTTTTACATTTAATCGATCTTTTCCATCACCAGGTTTTTTTATAATTATAAGATCACTCTTTTTCCTTTTTTGTTGGAAAATAACCAAATTCTAGCCAGGAATCATATGTAATTTTTTTAAGTGTAAGTTACAATAGAAATCATCGGCTCGTCAGTAATTCGTACACCTTACTAAAACTAAAAGAGTATATTATACTTTTTGCTCAAACAAATACGTTTAATTATTGTCAAATTGTCATAATATTGTCAAAAACACTAAACTTTTGTACTAGATTTTTAAACTTTTGGGGAGCAACTTGATTTGAATATAAGAGGCAAATGAGTGCCTAGTTTGTTATACCTACAATTAATTGAGTGGATACGTTAAACAGCCACTAAAAGACCTTTTACAATGTCATTACCTGTGCAGAATAATTCACCTCAACAAATTACGACAGACTGTACAATACTGCACTACTACTTTATTATTTACTGTGTTTAAAGGCAACACACGATACAGAACTTACAGACCAATCTGAGGTTGATACCTTCATAGATAAAAAAAGTTGCGATCTGATTATTTCTATAAATCGTAAATCTAAAATCTTACAATTTTGGAACTATTTGTTTATGATTGCAGTCAAGTGGTCCACGTCCAGTCGTCCACGTATACATAGGTAAAATGCGGTAAATAAATCAAAACCAGGTGTCAAATTCTTGACAGAATAGCTTCCATATGTAGTATATATATATGTAGTACGCTGCTTTTATTAAAGGGACTTACCATAGAAATTTCGTTTAAAATGCTTCAGAAACAAGATCGTTGCGTTTTGCACATATGCAACACAATTTTTTGACTTTGACAATTTTTTTCTCCGTTTTTTGATAATATAACACGGCTCAATTTTTTGTAGGTTGTACACAGGAAAATAAGGTCTTCCAAATAATAGAATAAAAATTTTAGGTTGCTATTTGAAAAAAAAAGTTCGATGCCGTTACGGCGCTCCAACATTTTTTTTCAAAAAATCCGGCCCGTTATTTTTCTGTTCGGTATGCCTAAAACATATATACAAAATTTCAACAAAATCCGTCGAGCCGTTTTCTCAGAAAATTGCCAACAAACGTACGTACGTACATACAGACGGAAAAAAATTTTATTCTTTAAAAGTTGCTTAATATGGTCTAAAACGTCGACATTTGATGAAATTTTGAAATGTTCAAAAAACGGCTATCGCAATAGCTACCTAGCACATACTAGGAAGCTAAAAATGAAATGCGAGGATAAGCAGTGAATCAAAACCAAAAAATCAAAAAACTTGTCATGTTTTTCGCGAAAAAGTCACGATTACACTAATTTTGAAATGATCATAGGCAATAATCCCTATTAGATGAGAATAAATTTGCCTCAAAAATGTTCCGGCGTAAAATAACGAACTAATGCAAATATTAAACATATGATCAACATGAGGTTGAGCCGCAGTGGCTTCAATTTTTGAACACTTTGGATTTGCGACACATGAAGAGGAAAAAAAATTCATTGGAAAGTGACCCCTCAGCCTATGAAGGGGAGAAACAGACGACAGATGTGCAAAACACTCAATCCATAAGATTTTCAAAAGCTGTTAAAGTGTCTTAAACTCCAAGGTTTAGCTAAGGGTTTTCGCTTTGTTAATAAAACATTTTTGTATGGATTTATTAGCCTTTGAATTCCCTAAAATAACTTCCATTTAATGGGGTACCTACCCTGCTCAAGGTATTTTTATTTTATTCTGTTCTGGCTTTTGCCAGCCATTCAATGCTAAAAAGCAATTAACATCCACCCAGTTGTCTTACCAAACGGACCAAAACCGTCACCAAATGAGTTGAAGAGTAATAAAGTTCTAATAAACCACCCTTTCGCAGCAAATTGACTTATGAATAGGGCCGTTTATTTACGATATCTGAACATTAGATTTCCGGGATTTATTTATCCATCCATATTCATTTTGTTGAACTATAAATAAAACTCGATCATCATTAACTAATTTGTTAATGGGTGGAAACTTATTGGACTGTACAGTGCGGCTACTATAGCTGGGTAAAAAATGTAGGGTTTGTGGTTTCGTGAATTTTAAGTATGACGTCATGTGAGTTATTGTTTGGAGATACACCTAAAATCAACATATGCATGAATTATCATACATAATAAGTCGTTAAATAACCATTAATTACCCAAAATTAAGTACTTTAGTAGGAAGATCCTGATTTAACCGTTAGTTTTAACTAGCTACTTTAAATGGCTCCCCAAAAATGCTTTCAACGTAAGTTGTTTCTTTTAGTACCTACCTATTACTTTTATATCCCAATATTCGATTAAATTAAAATTCTTGTGTAACAAAAAGGAACATTAGGAATAAGTGTAGTGTGCTCGGAGTACTTATATTGGAGGAAACTGCAAAAAAGTGGTTTGAAACCGGACTTTGGTGCAACGAACCAAAGATCATACTACATGATCTTTGAACGAACGTTCCATTTGCCAATTTGTATTGTGTACCGACCTAAAAAGGGTATAAACCATTTCCCCATAAGGAATAGGTGTAGGTGCATTGTTAGTGTATTTAATTTATCGTAGGAAAATTCGCCCTAGAAAATTTAGCCCAGGAAAATACGCCTCTGTAAGATTCACCTTTGAAGATTCGCCCCCGAGTATTTGTATAAACCCAACATAAATATAATTTACTATCTCCTTGCGTAATTGACACACTTGCTACCATCAAATTAGAAATTATTGACAGCCAAAGGCATATAGTTTCGTGCAGCTTAATAAAATGGTCATTAATAATAATAACGCACATACACAAATGTCAATCCTAACTCTAATTTATTAAGTCCATCCCTGACCAATGCCTCATGTGTTGTATTTATGTATATCAGACTACACACAAGTTTATATCTTGCAAATTACTATACAGAGTGGCCCAACGAGAAGTATACAGAGGGCTTTTAGGGTATTAAATTTAGAAATTTCGCAAAATCCTCGAACACGTCAATTTTGTATTCGAGGGGGAGAACTTTTGGAATACAAATCACGAACCCAAGTCTTCACCCCTCTACGTAGGGAGCTTAACCCCTAAAATTTTGAATGGAATCCTATGGCAAACGGCACATTATTTGAAAGCCAATTTAAACGTGATTACTAATCTGCTGCGCTTTTTAAATTCTATTGATGATATATTCAGTTGTAAATTCGAGTAAAACAACTTCTATTTCCTGTTGTTTTTTAAAGTGAAGAAAAACATCCTCTAAATTGGGAATTGATGTCCCGTTTCTATTTATGAGAACGACTATTACCGTCTCTTTAGTGTGGATATTCTGCAAAACCGTGAGCAGTTGTCTGCAATATTGCGGACCGCGCCAGTTGTCATAAGGACTCTATTTTCTAGGGTCTTAGACAGGGAGAGAGAGGTACATGGGTACATCACTGCTGCTTTTGGATAGGAACGGGAAGTGGCTTTGCGTTTGAAGCTTGTGTTCGTTCCTGGATTGGAAAAATTGTTTGCAGATATCAATATATACATTATACACTGTATCCAAAGTAAGCATGTCTATCATGAGGATCTCTAACACCAAGGTTTGTTGGGTCATTGTCGCATCTTCGATGGTTTCGGAGATCCTTATCTTGGACACAGTGCATATCCATATGATCAAATCTCTAATGAAGGTACGACAATGGTCAAATTATAGAAAATATGCGCAACTAAACGGTTATCATGCTTTAAAGAGAACCAAAAAATGACGATTACTTCCGAAGATACGTCAGTAAAACCGAAATTTGCCGATTTCATTTTTATTTCTTTCTGCACACAAAGGAAACGAAAGTTGGAAACTGTTAGTTTGAACAGGATGGTGCACCCGTTCACAACGCCCTAATCGTACGAGAATAACTATCGGACAAATTTCCTAGAAAATGGAAAATATGTCCGGTAGGTATTCTCGCATGCTTCGGGCGATGTGCGCTGGTGCACCATCCTGTTGAAACCAACAGTCACCATTGTCGCATTTTCTATGGTTTCGGAGATCCTTATCTTGGACAGAGTGCATATTCATATGATTACGAGGAGTCTCCAATAAACGACTGGCAGATTTTTAATTGCCGATTCCATCGTTATGTATTGTAATTACCTGATGTGCTCAGGGATTTCGAAGCAATAGATAAATACAATATATGGGCATCATTGTTTCTTTATGGCAGTAATTGAGTACTACAATGTTTTGACGAGTAATACATTTTGTTTTTGACACACGTTTACTGCCCTAGATTATCTGTGTTGACACAGTAGCTCATAGCCTTGGAGCTAGCTCATTCAACTTTTGTGATATCTAATCTTTGCGAGCTTAGAGAATCAATAGACTACGCGGAGTTTGAATAAAAATGAAAGAGAAAACGTTTGGTGTCATTTGGTCACTCTAACCTTCAGCAAGACAAAGAATGATCGAAAGCACCCTTACGAAACAACTCCAATAAACAACTTTGTTGTGTTTTTGGATGCGAAATCTAGTATGTAATCCTCAGACGCGGCGCGCAAAAGATCAAAACCGGTCTGGATTTATGTGGATTATCCCAATTTCCAGATTACTAACACCCAAACACTTCCCTTGCGATATTTACTGCAAGCAGACGTTGTTTCAGTGAACTGACGTTAATGTCAAAATTTATTTGTGTAGTACTCAAACCTTGTTTTACTTCCAGCGATGGCCATCCGATTCTTCCGCGCCTTGTCGAGAAAAAAGTTAGTGTCCAACGACGAAGAGAGTAAATTGGCGAGAGTCCTGACACTGCTCGATCTAACCGGATTGGGCATAGGAAGCACGCTCGGACTTGGTGTGTACGTCCTGGCAGGATCCGTTGCAAAAACCGTAGCCGGGCCAGCAGTTTGCATTTCCTTCTTAATCGCGGCTATAGCATCAGCATTTGCAGGTAGGCAATTTTAGACATTGTGAATATCACCAAGGTAATAAAATTGTGTAGGAATTTTCACTATGAAAACGTTCAATGCCATTGCTAAAAATGTATTTACACTATTTATCAAGGTTTAATTTGACGTTTCATTTTTTACCTATCACTAGCGGTGTGTTTACGTAATGGACTAGAAATATTTACATGTTCAGTATCTACTATGGCAAAGAGGGAACATTTCATTAATTATTCAACAGTAGAAAGTAAGCCATTTACGCGTAACATTGCTTTTTGAACAAAAAAGACTGTTATGTAGCTAATTTCTGTAGTCTTGACGATTGAGCATTGAGACCATGGACCTTTATCACAAGGATTTATTGAAATTTTACACGTCGTGTTGCATAGCTAACGTAGCGGAAAACATAATGTGGGAAATTGAAGTATTTCGCATCGCTGGTCGCAAGGCAAGATAGGTAAATATTAAAAACTTGACGAATTGTTGAACAATTTCTGAAAAATGACTTATAAGTACCTACCCTAGAAGAATCAATGAAAATGTTTGTGATTCCCCAGAGGAATCACTCAAAAACGAATAGACATGAAGAAGATGTCAAACCTTTGTGAATTTATCAAAGTGGAAATAGCAACTAGGCATTATTTGCCTTTCAGTCCATTTTTGGAGGAGAAATTTTGGTTAGAGGTTACTTGTAGTAACAATTCTTCTATGGCAAAATACCACTCGCCTAATCCTTCATCTGTCCGTAACCTGAAGAGTTTTATAGACGTGATTTCAAACTTTTATGGCTCAGAAAAATAGTCCCTGTTAGTTGATAACTAAATTATATTCTACGTCCTTCGTTTCACGGTTTGTTATTAGCATTACCACAATTGTTTAGTTAATTGCGAATCTCTTATCGAAGTTGGTAAACCATATAGAATAAACAAAGTGGACAAAACGTGTGTAATTTATCAATTCTGTCACCGTTGTAATTATGGATCAATCAACTGGTTACGGTTTCGGTCCAACTAAATAGAAGATGAGAGCGAGCCACCTTGTAGTGTGAATATCGGAAATAGCAGTCAGGATACCGTGCATGTATTTCATAAGACCTAATAATTCGTTAGTTTCTTATTGTAAATTTTTTTGATAATTGTTTAATTCCCTTCATTCTATTTGTTGTATTTAGTTTGTACGATAAATTTAAAACGGGAAACTTTGGTAAATTTATTGAGTTAAAGGTAATTGCGGAGCAAGAACACCTTCTACGACTGTATCACGGTGTTTTGACCGAGAATGAAACCAATAATGGAAACGAAAAGACACAGGATCGCAACTCCGATGACTTATCTTATGTTTCTGTAGCCAGTATTCTTCTTCTTATTATTATTGTATTAGTATTATTATTCTATATATTTTGAATATATAAACTTATATTTTAATTAAAAAAGTAATTAGGGACTGAGTCCGACGTTAACCCTTGCGTAATATAAACGTTAACTCACACTGAAGACTTAAGGAACGTTGAATTTTTTCCGCGAGTTTAAAGTTTTTTCTGGTCAGGTGCTGATCAAAAGTTGTTATCGGATAAGAATTAATTGGTTTTTCGACCGACAAAGTCACGTGCGAGATAAGCGATGCAGGTGTTTCAACAGTTTATGGCGACATAGGTGGAATTTTAAGTGTCGTCGGGAATAATGACGTTGATTTTATTAGAGGCGGATATTTTTGCTCAAATAGGAAGCATGAAGAGCAAACGGATAACTATCGGGTTATTTTGAAAGAGAGCGTATTTGTCTGAAACTCTAATTGGTAACGATAGTTCATCCGGATATGCAATTTGAAACATAAATGATGCGGAGACAAATTAAATGTCTTGCAAGAAGAAAAGTGTTACCACCCGAGAAGCGACAAAGTTAAGTGTTATGTCTTCGAGTCAGCTGTGGCGTTTTAAAAGTGAGCTGTTTTTGTTTCTAAGAAGAGTGTCAAATTCGTGTTAAAGTGCGTGTTTCGCCGAACATCGCATATTTCTTGTCCTGGCCAATTTATTGGGTTATTGTGAGTAATTTTGAGTAATTTTTAAGATATCTTAATTTATTTATAGATCGGCCGTTTGCAAACTGAGTGTGCTCTATTCAAAAGGCACTGTTAGCCTTAAATTTGTTTCTTACAGGATTTTCTTGTATTTTATTCTTTCTATGTGTGTTAGAATATTTTCTTATAACTTTTGGGCCCTAAAGCCCCCTAACACTTTAAATTAACCACCCCTACCTTTTAGATCACGTGTACTCTGTCCAATGAAATTATACATTATTATTATAAACTCGAGAACAATAGGCTATTTTACTGAATCAGATCAGGAGTTAGACAGCTCTCATAAAACCGTCTGATCCTGAGATAAACTCTGGACATCTGGTCGCTTACACATCCTGTAACAATTAAAAAAACTAAAGTATTGAAAACAACTACGGGAAAAACAAATGTGCGGTTTTTGAACTGAAATCAGCCAATCCATTCCCCCCACATCACCGCTAGACCAATATTTGTTTATAAAATAATTTCGAACCAATGACATTTCAACTTGAAAATTCCCATTTTCATTATTTCTGCGAACCAATCAAAATAAAAAGTTACCGTCACACAATGAACCTTTACTTTACTGTAAGATTCTTCAAAAAGGAATTCCTTCTACCCTCGTTTTCATTAGGGTTTTACTGAAGTGGGTATGTAATTCTTTAGTTTTCCTCGAAACACTCACCTCTGCTAGTATTTGTCTCCGCCGAAATACTCCGCTGCCAACTTACTTGCTCCAAGGAGGGTTCAAGCTCAGGGCAGCTCCATTCCAAAGAATTTTTTTAAGGAAAATAACATTTGAAACAGCTCGTATGCATTCAATTCCAGAGTATCCTTCTATTTTTGTGATAACTTTTGGACGTAAAATGTAAATTCGATGCTTCCAGCGAATTTAGGCTCGTTTCCAACAAAACTCCCTTCTGTAAATTTGAAGGAAAGCTCCCCTTACCAGGAACTTGCTACAACAAAAGTGCAAATATCACGGCAAACTGGACCAAGGATATCCACCCCTACGAAATATTTTATGGTGTCTCAAAAGTATACAAGGTACCTATCCCAAAATTTATAACCACGTAAAATTCGGCAAAATAATTTTTTTTTCAAAAATCCGAAAACTAGTCGACGTTTTTATAGAAGGCGAAATTTTATGCAAAAGTGTGCAAGTTCTAGCATCAATTTGCGACACTCAAATAGGTACTTGTAATTGTCACTAAACCATAAAAAAATAATAAAAAAAACCATACGAATTCCTAATAGGTACTAAATGTATGACGTAAAAAGATCAAAATGTAGGTACATTTCCGGTGTGCAGGAAACCTATAAAAAATTAACATTAGAATGCAATGTCATCCCGTGACTAACTGGCTTTTCTTACGTAGGTATTTATCCGGAAGCATAAGAATTAATAATGATCACGTTTTATGCTACAAAATGGTTTTTTCATAAGCATAACGTAATTATTACAATTAGATTGTCGTAATTCCCATGTATTTAAACCACTTAATCCTTTATTTGTAGGTTGATGAATCCGACGTCTGGAAAGTTCTGAAAAATGTTTATTGATGGCACAAGCAGCTACTAGCATTATTTAGTATTTTTGTGCCACTTTGTTTCTTTTTATCAAACGGCGAGTAGATATATTCTAAACGATTACATGGTCGATCGCTAGAAGTCGAACATCTTTGTAGAAATTGCACAACCGTAAAACCGAGAAAATCGAATCAATCTTATTTTTTGCGATTTTCTCCCCTTTTCTGTGACTTTTGGTGTATTTTCGCGATATTGATGTAAGAATTAATGACCAATTTGATTTTTTGATGCGCGTTCGTTGTGATGGTTGACCATAAAAGCGCAACGTTTTGATTATAAACACTTTAATCCGAAAAGAAAACGTGCTTTCAATCTTTTCTCATATATTTACTTTTTTAAGTAAATTGGAAAACCGTTTTATGTACGTAAACTTTGAGTACGTATTTTATTTCTGATATAAATCTGTATATTTTTTTTAATAGTACCTTATAAGTGGTCCATGAAGCACAAATTTTGTTAAATAAGTTCAGTTTCCAAATGGGAAATGTAACTGGTAGACAGTTTGTCCGTCTGTCGGTTTGTCTAACTACTTTTACGACTGTTAGTTTCAAGTTTCTGTAAAAAAACATTATAAAATTATGTAATGTTATTTTCCTGATTTAACTACCGTAACCTACGATTCGTACTCTTATTTAGTATTCTTACTCTTGTTATTTAAATTCTTACACCATCTAGGTATTTTCTTTGTAACCGACTAGTTTAGTTTAGTTAGATGTAAGTTGTTCTAAGTGTTCTTATTACAATAGTTCTTTGTTTTGCCACTAAAGGTTGTGCAGAGGTTTCTTCAATTTTCAAAGAGATGCAGATGGTGAATTTGGCGGTAGCTTCTTCTAAATAGTCGGCTCGAAACTCGCGGTTAATTTTACTAACAAGCGAATGTATTGTTACTGAATGTAACAATATCTTTGTGCACTACCAATCCCAAATGATTTTTTAAATCCCACGCAATTCAAACATTCAGATTGTGCAGTTTTCAACCCCAAGGTTGTATCCACACGTTTCCTCTACAACAGACATACAATCCTGGAGTACTAACTTAAAAAAACGACTGAATTTTACCAGATCACCTCTGTCTTGACGCCTAAAACCACTAAGGAACAAAAAGCCCATACAGCATGATTATGTAGAGACGACGCATGTTATATTGGCTGCAATCATATTTGTTTGGAAAAAACAAAAAGATTCAAATACAAGATTCCGCATTATTCGTATCTTTTTACATTATTAACATTAACATATTAACATGTTACTTTGCCTTGACTTGCCGTAATTATTTTTACGTGGGTAGTTATTTTGATTAAAATTAAAATATTTCCGTTATGTTGATAAAACTTTAGGATTTAGAAATTGCTTGCGGCTATTATGGTTTTTACTTTTGTTAGATGGCAAATCGTTCCTACAAATCTTAATTTTTTCTAATCACTGTTGATTGTGCTATGGCTTGCGATGTACCTTCCAAAATTCGTGGTTTTTTGAGTGAATTTGATACTTCATGTACCATTATCAGTCATATTATCAATTTTTTCGATTTTATTACGAATTTCTATTTTTAAATGAAAATCAGCCACCATTTTGCAAGATGGCTGCCGTAGCACGGCAAGCACGAGTGTTCATATTTTACATGTCGCTACTGGGTAATCATATGCAAAGTATTCCGTTTTAGGGAATTACTTCTAGGTATTATCCTAATATGAATGGACTACTTTGCTTAATTGAGGTAGCCGCAAATTCCCTTTTAAAATATTTAAATTTCACAATATGTGCCTGGGCCATCTTCGCAACGTATTCCTTTTATTCCACCTGCCATACATCAGAAGTTTGTGACCGATCTACTTCTCTTAAGGAAGAACAAATATTTAGGGTACTATTTTGGTTAAATTAATTGAACAATTTAGATTTCAGGAGAAGTTAATTAAACTACAATATGTAACCATTTCCGATTTAATGACGTTATGCGATTATTGCTTTGTTAGAGCGTTAATCATGCTTGACTAATACGAATTACCATAATATCTGGATTCGTAAATTACTAGAATCATCAACAATGAATTAGCTGTTTAAATGTAATTGCGTATTGGGTACAGTTATCTCTCTAAGCTGTTTAGCGCAATTCGCTTTGTTTGTTATTTTCTTGAGGGGGCATCGTTCAAGTGTCTCCTTGAAGTTGCGATAGTTTTTGATATGGTGATTTTTTCTGTATGCAACATTTATTGTAACAATTAGGATCACTTGCGATTAGACAGCACAAACGACAATAATAAAAAAAATGTTTGATCTTGAGCGGAATTCAGACGTTATCTTGTTAATTTGTGGCCCTGATGATGATCTTCCGCACATTTAATTTAAAAAAAAACGAGGTGGGTCGAGCCTCAATTTAATAACCACGAATCTGACTCACGCCAGACTATACCGGTACAAGCCAATACGTCCTTGAGCGTAAAGAAGGAACTGCAACTTTATCATTTTGTTATATCTTATCAAATTAAATAAAAGCAATAGTTTCGCATTTTTATCTAATAATGACCTAAATTCACTTTATTTATCAAAAACAAACCATTTATAGCATGCAAACTAAAATTATGCTTTGTATCACCCCCCCCCCCCTCCTTTCCCTAAACTATAATTACAAACAATTTTTTTTTTATTTCAGCGTATTGGGCAAATTTATACTCTATGCATTTTTTTTCTTATCTTATCCCTCTTTTAAAACACCTACTTTCATTATTCTGTGTCCTCCATTCGCCCCCCTTTCCCTAATTCCTTTTCACTTTTGACATTCCTCACTCACCTTTTCTTTTAAAATCTTACCCTCCGAAAACATATACTTCAGTATTCCTTGTTGTAAGTGTATGCGTATACTCATCTCTCTTTATTTGTCCTAAAAATACGTTCTCAATGCAATTAACCTTTTGAAAAGTCCATGATTGCCAAAAAGGCACTTCAAATTGTTGTAAAAGTCCATTCGCATCGTGTACAACATCCAAACCCCCTAGCGATAACTTTCCATCCCTCTTTGTACATTCCGCACCCCAATTCGCCACTGACCAGTTCTTCTTTTAGACTCTTCATTTCCACCAATTCTATTCCCTCAAATTTCCGATTACTCTCAATCCTCATATGATCAAATTTGCGATTATTCTCATCTAATTTCTTATTACTTTCTCAGTTCTCTGAGACAAAACCGAAATCCTTTGCTTCGATGTCATTCTTAACAATGAATGTAATACAATACGTAGAATCTTTTTATACAATGGTTCTCATAGGTCGACTTCTTCAGGAATATCAAAGTTACTCAAATTCAATATGCAAATTCCTAATAATAATCGACCACTAATTTATAGAATGTAAAAAAAATCAAGCTTACTGTAACTGACGTGGATGAGATCCCCTTTAAGAATATGGAAATAAACCGCTGTTCACTTTTTGTAACGTTCGTGGTGAATGCGAAACAAAAATGTCCATACGTATTGTGCACTCCAACAAACCAGCTCCAAATTCGTGTAATAATAATACGTAATATTGTTATTAGGCACGGGTATCACCTTTTATTGAATATGCACGCAATGTTATCGCCTTTTTACTTTCAGGCGTAATTTTGTTTCTGTTCGCTATAAAGCGGTATATGCGTAAATCTTCCTATGCCACTACCAAAATAGAAATTCGAAAAATTACTTTAAAAAAACAGATAATGTAAGTTGATAAACTGTAAAATAAACTTACAAATTTATAAATATTTAGGATCGCTTTCATTAAAGGAGAAAAACATCTTTTTTTGACACGGTCGCGAAAACTGAAAATTTTCAATTGAAACTTCCTGAAAAGTTCTCTGCAAAGTTGCGAATGTTAATTTTGTAATTTTCTGTTCCAGGTTTATGTTACGCGGAATTTGCGGCGAGGGTACCGAAAGCGGGATCGGCTTACGTATACAGCTACGTTAGCGTTGGCGAATTTGTGGCGTTTGTCATCGGCTGGAATCTGATTCTGGAATACGTCATAGGTGGGTTTGCGAATTTTCGTCGGGTAGTAAAAATAAACATTTATGGGTTTTTTCGCGTATGCAAATTTTAATGACGGTCGATTACTGCATCTCTCGGCAAAACTGGTACCTATTAAATTAATTCGCCCCAAATTGCTTGAAGGTAAGACTAATGTTTGGAATGGCAATGCATCGCATAAGAAATAATTGACTACGTAACCGCGTGTTTTCCGTGTAGGTAATTGGTTGTAATGAATAAATATATCGTCACATTAAAGAAACCAAGGAGAAAATAATAAGCACCGTTTGAAATGTATAAATAACGTAGTCGGGATTCACAGTTTTTTTAAGGAGCTGATGGAAAGTCCCCAAAACGAGGGTACTGTCGTTATACGTGAAAGGTTTAGTAATAAAGGTGCATGATAATTAATTAGATTCAACAAGATGGGAACCATATTTTGCAAAATATTCTGTTCGTTTTGATTTCTGTGCCCTGGTCGGTTGAGGTTTTACTACAGGATCGCCACTCTCGGAGTACTGTCATACCAACTCCCAATTTTTGTGTGCCTTAACTCGGCCTTAACTTTTGAAAAAAATTTAAATTTTGCGGAAGAAGTACCAATTTACCCACTCCACTAATTTTGTACAGTTGTATGTCCTTCGATGAAAAAATCGTAACTTTTATTTTTATATACCCTTTGGCAAAATACAGAGTGCCCCAGATTGAGTGACATTATTGCTTACTAAAGATGGAGATTTGATTAAATGAGGAAAGTGGGTTAATTAAAATTTTGTTTTGAAAATTAACTTTCTTTTATTAAATAGAGGGCTATATTGCATTAAACGCAAATCAACAATGCATTATTTAACAAAGGATGCCAGTAAAATTAATTATTATTACTTTTTAAGCACGTAGAACTAATTAAATCATTCCTCAATAATACCTATATTTGGGTATTGGAACCTAAGTGATCATTTTTGCTGGTTTGTGTGCCAGTTTCCAAGTTTGTGCCCCTTTATTTTTGAAATTACTAGAATCTCGTGACTGGTATTTTTTCAGGGAATTTTTAAATGAAGTTTAATTTTTAAGTTCCTCTAGTGCACCCAATACTGCAATTTGTGCATATTTATAATTAAATTCAAGTTTTTACTCCATCCTTACCATTTTTACGGTGAAATAAAAACTTAAAATTTAGTGATGGTGATTAATTCAAATATCAGCACAAAACAGACATAAACCAATGACAGTTTTGATGAGATCTGTGGTTGAAAAAATAAAGAAGTCTTGCACGAATTGAATAGTGAACACAAATGATAAAAACAAATCTAATTTAACATGGCAAAAGTCAACATGACATTTAATCAATATCCAAACATCTTAAGATGCTAGCCGTCGGGTCGTCCTCGTCGTTCGTTCAATCGTAGCTGCCACGCGGGTGGCACGGGTTCGATTCCTCATCGATGCAAATGTTTTTAAATTTTATATATTTAGCATTGCTACATTTCGCCAGACTAATGCTGACCGTTGACGCAGCATAACACACAGGCCCGTAGGGGCTGCTGTTTCTAGTCTGTTATTGATTTACTTTCTCTCTCATAGCAACACATTAACATTCGAAACCATTAAGGGTTGGGTAAAGTTGACCAAAAATATCACACGGCCATTCAAACCCTTATTAAAGGTAATGACGCAGTTTGTCAGTAAAGATTGCAGCGGGATTTTCTTTCCTACAAGTCGAATGTGATCTTTAATACAGGGAGTGAGCACGCAGATCAAAGAATATGTCCACAGAAACTACAGTGACTCTATAGAGACCGTGTGCAGGTCATACGATGGTGTTAATTTTTATTGGTAGTTGGGAGATCCACCATGTTTTGGCCAAATACTTTACATTGGTGGAAATTAACCTGGAAACCTAGCTGTAACTTTTGATCTAGTTGCCCAATCTTGGAACTGTTTGAAATTATGGAATCTACAGGACATATTCTATAAGAAAATGTTTTTTTCCGGTCGATCTGAGACATTTTCTTTGGGGCCTCAAAAAAAGGCAGTGTATAACCTTCCATTTTTACCAAAAATCGACTACACCAAAATTTCTCGGGAAAACACTTTTTCTTATTAATTTTGGTGCGTAGAATCCAAAACAATTGGTACTTTTTCGATTAGACTTCTCAATCAAAAGTTATAGACTAGAAACCAATTTCGAAAGAAAATTCAAAGGGCTGTAATTTTTGAACTAGTAGCCCAATCTTGGAACTGTTTGAAATTATGGATTCTACAGGCCACATTCTATAAGAAAATTTTTTTCCGTGTCGATCTGAGACAATTTTTTTTTCGGGGCTCAAAAAAAGGCAGTGTATAACCTTCCTTTTTTACCAAAAATCGACTGCACCAAAATTTCTCAGGAAAACACTTTTTCTTATTAATTTCGGTGCGTAGAATCCAAAACAATTCGTACTTTTTCGATCAGACTTCTCAATCAAAAGTTATAGACTAGAAACCAATTTCGAAAGAAAATTCAAAGGGCTGTAAATTTTGAACTAGTAGCCCAATCTTGGAACTGTTTGAAATTATGGATTCTACAGGCCACATTCTATAAGAAAAATTTTTTTCCGGGTCAATCTGAGACAATTTTTTTTTCGGGGCTCAAAAAAAGGCAGTGTATAACCTTCCTTTTTTACCAAAAATCGACTACACCAAAATTTCTCGGAAAAACACTTTTTCTTATTAATTTTGGTGCGTAGAATCCAAAACAATTCGTACTTTTTCCATTAGACTTCTCAATCAAAAGTTATAGACTAGAAACCAATTTCGAAAGGAAATTCAAAGGGCTGTAACTGCCTGGAAACCAAGGTAATGAATTTATCTTGCTGGGCACAATTGTGGCAGCATTTTAAACCAATCATGATAAATTGGAAAAAAAGCATGACCGGCATGGAGGATTATGTCCTTATACAGTCACTGTACCAAGGGCGGGTCTAAACAATTTTCTGAAGGGCGGAGGGGAAGGGGGCAGAAATAAAATACATTTTTAAGTTTCCATTGGATTATTTTTAAAAAACAAAATTCAATTTCCGGTTTTGTCTTTGGGGGAAACTGTCAAGTACACGATTTACATCAACTGCTACGTCTTAGCAAATATTCATCAGAGCCAACCCTGTTAGGTTGAGTGTGAACGTTGCAATTAACTTTATTTGTAGAAGTTTATGAGACGCTTGGCAAATACTCTCGTCCCCCTTGCATCGTACATAGAAACTACAGTGACTGTATCAGGACAGGGGGGGGGGGGTTAACTTAAACAAAATATGTACCATAAAAACTGCTACGTTTATTAAAAGGCAACGGAATTGAATGACAGAGGGACGAGAACTGTTAATGTTTTGCCTCATTGTAGGAGGAGCGAGTTTAGCCAGAGGACTTTCCAGCTACATCGACGCCCTTTCCAACAACACAATGAAAAGCTTCTTCACCGCGACCCTTCCCATGGACGTCGAATTCTTAGCCGACTACCCGGATTTCTTCTCCTTCATCGTGATGATGATAGTGACAGGTAAGCCGATGACCAAATGTCTTCGCCATTACGTCTAATTCTTCTTGCAGCGCTTTTAGCGGCGGGAGTAAAGAAATCTAGCATGCTGAATAATATTCTGACAACCTTAAATCTACTGACCGTTATAACTGTTGTGGTATCTGGATCGATTAAGGGTAGGTACCCGTGGAATATGACCCTGAATTACCTGAACCGCTTTAGCTGACAGCGCAAATTGGAAGATTGCCAAGGAGGAGATTCCACCGGACGTTCGCAATGCGGGCGAGGGCGGTTTTGCGCCGTTCGGCGTCGCGGGAATTATGGCGGGTGCGGCCAAGTGTTTCTTCGGGTTCGTCGGGTTCGATGCCATCGCTACCACCGGAGAAGAGGCGAAAAGGCCGCAGCGAAATATACCGTTGGCAATCGTTATTTCTTTGATTGTTATTTTCTTGGCGTACTTTGGGGTATCAGTGGTGCTGACCATGATGTGGCCGTACTACGATCAGCATGCGGAAGCTCCATTCCCTTACGTCTTTGAACGTGTTGGTTGGCCGGTAATTAAGTGGATCGTTACGATCGGCGCTGTTTTTGCAATATGCACCAGTCTGTTGGGGGCGATGTTTCCTCTACCGCGCGTCTTATACGCTATGGCGAATGACGGCCTTATATTCACCTTTTTATCACGCGTGCATCCAAAAACCAGAACACCTTTAATTGCAACAGTAGTTTCCGGTATTTTTGGCGGTAAGAAAACGTATAGACGGATTTGGAGTAAATGCACCGGTAAGTGCTCATTTTAGGGGTCATGGCGCTAGTTTTTGATCTGCAGCAGCTGATTGACATGATGTCCATTGGAACATTGATGGCGTACACAATTGTGGCAATTTGTGTGCTAATATTGAGGTACGAGAACCCCCAAGAAGTCGAGATTCCCAAGAGTGACAGTCATCATACAACTACTGGAATAATCATCAAGCAATTTGCGTTGATCTTCAACCTAAATGGAAACAAACACCCTAACTGTACCACAGCCACATTCACCAAGGGAGCAATATGCGTCTTCAGTAGGTTTTCTGGTATTCATTATTACACACACTAAGGATCTATTGTAGGTGTCATAGCGTTGGCAGTGTGCTTCTTCATCAAATATGCAGGAACCTTTGTCAATGCGGAACATCCTTATTATTTGACTGGATTTATTCTTCTTGCCATAATTCTTCTGAGTGTCGTCGTTGTTATTGCCAGGCAGCCGACGTGCTCGATAGAAATTTCGTTTAAGGTAAGCACATCGGCTCAATATCGAAGTCAATTCCAATTTCAGGTCCCTTGGGTCCCTTTTATCCCATGCTTAAGTATTTTCATTAACTTATACTTGATGTGTGAGCTAGACGCGTACACGTGGCTGAGATTCTTGATTTGGATTTGCATTGGTAGGTAGCACATCCACTGAGTATTATATTGAGCATGTTAACTTACAGGTTTCTTTATCTATTTCTTATACGGCATTAGCCACAGCAGACAGAAGGAATGCAGTATAGATAACGAGCCACAAACATCAGCAGCACCTGTTTTTGTTATGAAAACAAAGCCCGAGGAACGCTTTTGAACCAACGCGTGGTACTTACTATGTAATGACGCTTATTGGACAATGTGATTTTATGTTTAATGACACATTTATTTTAATACCCTTAGATGTAGGAAAATAAAATGGTTTCCTTAATTAAGTAGTCAGTAACGCCGAAAACGCTGTGCTACCTTATACAGGATCCTCGAACTGCAAAATTCTGACTTCTTACTTCATGTGCATGTTTTGAAGGTAGAGTCAGGAACGTTTTACGTAAAAAACAATGTCCTGCTGAATGAAAAAATGGGAGCAACTGGTTGAGGTGAAGCTTCCAGTCCCCCACCAGCTCCTCATGAAATTGCTTTATAAGAGGAGTCATTCGATAAGATTGACACCAAAGCTTGGATGTGGGACAATTGTGTTCATTTTTTTCCAAAGCTGTCCTCAAATTGGTAATCGCCAATTGAAAAACTTCATTCTCACTGGCAAGAAAGACCTAATTTCCACAAATCCGTCTTTTCAGCTCAGCACAGTTTTGATTGGTGCAGTCTATCTGAGTCATCACCATTTCAGCTAATACGAGAATGGTCAGAACACGCCCTTACGGCACTTGAATATGCATGGCCATGGAGGTTCATGTTACCCCTGTTTTCGACGTAAATAATCCGCTCCTTCAAACCACTACCAGCTATGACTCCATCAGGAAGAATGGAAATATGTACAATAAACATGAATTAAAAATGGCCACTGGAATGAAGATATATTGGTTTGGCACATAATGGTGTACTACGTAATTCAGCAACCATTCAAAGCCACTGTAATTTCGGCATTTAATTTAATCTCTTCCTTTTTAATCCTGGCTGGCATATAACCTTGTTCTTCTTCACAGAAGATTGTGCCGTCACTGTGGTTATTTGGAACAGAAATGTAATACGTCTTTATTTTACTTGACCTATGTTTTTTGTATTGCCTATTATATTTTCTTTGGAGTTCTCCTCTTTTTCTGGTGTAGTGGTTGGTTGGCTCCATTGAATATGTTTTAGCGGATTTATATTTACAAGTGATTTAAGCCCTGACGCATGTACGTATTTTGATGACGTAGCATTATTTTAACACGTATATTCTTTTATGGCTTTGTCTTCTTTCCTCCTTTTCTATCCGCCTATATTTATTTCTTCATTGAACATTACTATTTTACTATCTACGTCGATATCCGTTGTGGAATAAATTATCCTACATCTAATACGGTGCGATTTTAGTGCAAGATCGCATCGTTTGCACATTGTAATATCAACGGATACAGGTCAGTAAATTAATGCACATTCATCCCTTTGTTGTGTTCTTGTCGTGTTTTGCCTGATTGCAGATTATTGGCAGAGAGCGCCTTTCTGAGCTCGGAGAGGTTGCGACCCGATAGTTCAAAGCAGAGCTGGGCAGTATTCGATTTTGTAAATACTGTTTAGTATTCAAATCCTTTAAAGTATTCAAATACTTTGTAATTAAATACTTTTATGGAAGCAGTATTTGTATTTGTAACTCAAATACTTTCACAAATATTTAGTATTCGAATACTTCGCATAGTATTTGAATACTTAACCTTCCTTTTTTACCAAAAATCGACTACACCAAAATTTCTCGGGAAAACAATTCGTACTTTTTCGATCAGACTTCTCAATAAAAAGTTATAGGCTAGAAACCAATGTCGAAAAAAATTCAATGGGCTGTGACTTCTAGTAGCCCAATCTTCAAACTGTTTTAAATTATGGATTCTACGGGCCAAATTCTATAAGAAAATGTGTTTTCCCGGTCGATCTCAGACATTTTTTTCCGGCCTCAAAAAAGGCAGTACTTTTAAGTTATTCAAATATTTGAGAACAATTTAGAAATGGTTAGGGAAAGTTTCCATTGTCACAAAATCAAATATAAAAATCCGATACAACTGAATACCGAACGATCCTGGAGTGAAACTTTTTGACTGGATAGTCCACGTAACTTAAAAACAATAGGGACCTTTCTTATATCCTTAAGACCATTGTGTACCAATTTTCAAAGCGATCGCACGTTTCTAAACAAACTATCATGCACACGGACAAACGGATGGTCAAAAATGGATCTGTTCCAAAATCGCTAGGATTAATTTCAGAAAGGCGTATGTATCATGTGCACGACGTACGATCGCTTTGAAAACTGGTACACGTATTCTTAGGGATATAACTGGTATAAGAAAGGTCCTGGTAGGTACCTCCTATATAATAATAATATTACGCTTTTACTCCCCTTAAATTTGTATATAACAATAGAAATATGAAAAAAGCTAACCCCATACAAAGTATAACTTGATTTTTTAAGTAGTATTAAGACTTTTATCTAGTATACTATTTTAAATTTTTAATATTTGAGTGACAAGTATTTAAATACTTTTTACTGTATTCGAATACTTTTCAAAGTAAGTTAATGAAATACTTTTCAAAGTATTCGAATACTTTTTATAGTATTCGAATACCTTTGATAGTATTAGAATACTTTTGAAAGTATTCGAATACTTATGAAAGTATTCGAATACATTCTAAAGTATAGTATTCGCTTGTGCTGGACGTAAAAGTATTTAGTATTCAAATACCTTTGATTTGTGTAAAGTATTTACTATTTAGTATTCAAATACTTTTTGAAAGTATTCTGCCCAGCGCTGGTTCGAAGTAATATTTTATTTTCGTTGCACTCCGTGAGATTAATGTTTGTTGATAAAGGCCTTCGATTCTGCCGAATTGTAATTAATATATTTCTTTGCAGTAATTCCTGTCCTTAAAATTATTAGGGCATGGTGTATTGGTCTTAGCATTACATATTTTTCGAATTGAGGACTTTAGATCTCTTTCTAATAGTCAGTTTTTTTTAAATTCTACAGGTCAAGATTTATTACTAATCGCCTCTTTCTGGTAAATATGTCACAATTTCCTTCCGTTATAATTTTTAAATTTAAGGCAATGGTTTTAGCGTTATTAGGATGTAGGCTGCTATAAGTTCATCATTGTCCCCAAATGTTGTCCCCCTGAGTTTTTTTTTGGGGATTCGGGAACAAAAAATAGTCAATGGGTGCTAAATCTGGACTGTAAGACGGATGTTCAATTTTTTCGAAGGGACAATCAGCTACAGCAACTTTTGAAAGTCTGCACTAATGCAACAAGACACCTTGCGTTAGATTTTCGCGTCTCTTCACTCTAAGCGCCTCTAAGACGATGTTTCAGGTTGGCATAATACTCTCCCGATACCGTATTAATTCCCTGATTTCCCGAGAGACCCCAAAAATGATTGCTATGATTTTTCCTGCAGAAGGGGCGACTTTAAACTTCTTGATTTTTCTTGCGTGATTGAGGATCTATTCACGGCTGCTCTTTCTTCCTATTAAGTTTTTATGAGTTGGAACAGGTCGTAGAACAGTTTGGTGTTATCACCATAACTGAACCTGCTCCTATTGGCCTTTTAATTCCTGCGGTACAGTATCCAAAGGATCATTGTTGAAGCCGTTGAATAAATTTCAGTTAAAATAGTTTTATTTATATTTGTGTAGATGGAGTATGCATACGTTGATTTAATTTTTAGTTTGGGAAATTGTGATACATTACTGATAACATTTTTCAATTCAATAGTTATTGTTGGTAAAGTTCTATTGCGTGTGAGGTGTTTTTTTGGTCTTTTGGATTCGTCATTGGTAGTGTTGGGCATTCGCTTATCTGTCAATCAATTACATCTTCTCCATCCTGTTTTCTTCCTTTCCCTCACCATAGTCTCCTTGTACCAGAAAAGAAAAAAAGAAAAAAAATAGCAATTGAACGACGACAGGTAAGTGATATATTTTTGCCTATTTCAATTAATCATAGTGTATATTTGGTGTTTATGAGGTCAATAAACGTTATTATTTGATAATAGCATTAAGAATGTTGCAAGTGTTTTATAAATTGCCACATAACTTACAAAGGTATATGTGTTTAAAAATCAACATAATGAAAAATTGCCCCAAAATTCAAAACACCGCAATAAAACCGACCCCTCGTAGAACAAGGGCTTTGAATTCCAGAAGATTGCGCAAGATAATGTCTCCGGGCTGGAAGGCACGAAATAGGAAGTACATAATGTTCATGTAGTATAAAATACGAGTATAACATTGAATATAAAACTGAGGGGTAGTAGATAAAGTGCAAGATCAGCACATTTATTTATTTAACGCACGTTAACAATACACGTGCGTCCTTTCAGGTGATTAATGATCAAAGGGTTTTTCGGATTAACCGAGAAAAACGCAAACGCACGTTGGTTTCCGATATATCAATCATTTTATTCATTAATTTCTAAGGCTCTCAGTTTTCCGTTAACAAGCTCGAAATTGGTTTTCGCAGTAACCAAGGTGTCTCTCTTGGCTTTACGTTCAATTAACTCAATCGTTCCATACGCACCAACACCTATCACCAAAAGTGTCAGTAATAGATAAATTTTAGCGTCCGTTCGTAAATACGGACTGTACGCGTATGTTATCACCGATCCTGTAGATTCCCAAAGCCGGAAGTTACTATACGCGGCTTCCTCCTTTCCCGGAAATAAAATCCCGCACAGAGCTGAAACAGAACGTTTTAATATTACGGCGTTTGCATGAGTTACCCTTTTTAATGATGTATGTTTGGAGAGCATACCGGAAAACTGCCTCACCATTTATCTGTACGAGCCAAACTGCATCGCACAGTCCCCACAATCCGGCCACAACAAAGAATGGCACCTTATTAATCGATGTCGGCTTCCAAATTAACAGCGTAATTAAAAGACCGACGTGTACAACGAAAGCGAACGCGATCATCGGCACGCGTCCCGTCTTTTTCGAAATTCCACCGGCGAAAATGGCGGCGATCGCGTTGACGGCACCGAAGCATATCATTACAAAGCCAATATTGCTGATACCCCATCCGCACGACACGAACGACTGCAAAGAAAGGCTGATCCAGATCGTAAGATTTTCAGTAACTTACCGCGTTGAAATCGGCAGCTATGAAAGCTTGCTCTGCGCCAATGAACATTGTTATGGGGAGGATCAGTAGTTGGTATGGATTGAAGAGGTGTTTGAGGGTTACTATTAGTAGTGTTAGACCTGATAGCCCTGTGGCGCTTCCTGCT